AGTGTCTTTGATATCAGCAGGTAAACAGTTATCTGAAGTGAGGAAGGATACGATATGATTAACTGACACCTGTCATCTTGTCCAAGTGTGCTTGATATGAGCAGGTAAACAGTTATCTGAAGTGAGGGAGGAAACAGTATGTTTGACTGACAGCTGTCATCTTGTCCAAGTATCTGCTCATATACACTGTAAAAATGGCTGGTTACAACGGTTAGAGTGAATGCATAATACACACATAATATTAGGGCTGTGTATTGGCAAATAAAGTGTATTGCAATATATTGAGATTCAGGTAGCCAGATTGCAATATGTATTGCGATATATTGGGAACTTGACAGTGAGTGACGCTAACTGTGCATGTCAATCCTATTTTCTACATTATAAGTCCCTAAACATATATGTTAATGGTTCTGATAACGGCAAACTCAAAATTAGGTTGCATAGTCAGGGATTCTATTTCCTCTTTTATACAACTTATAGTATTACACTATAGTCTGCTGTTTTGTCATTGAATAACGAAGGAAACCATTTGTTGTGAATGATAGTCTGTATAGATTTTAGTTTAAACCATAAAAATCATAAATCTTCATGTATGTTCTTTACCCAATATACCGGTTCTCAGAAAATATATTGCAATACGTATCGTTTGAAAAGCGTATTGCGACATACCGGTATACCGGTAATACCTTGCAGTCCTAGATAATATATTGGACCCTGTGGGAGCAAAATATCCTGGCTGCTGGGGAAACTAAATGCATGGCATGGTCAGGTTTGGTGATTGTCATTATAACCTAGACTTGCACCAGTCTCTAAGGTAATAATTAATAGTTTAAATGATAATTTCTACAAAATATAAATATTCCTCTAACAGACTGGCAAAACAGTCTGCTTATCTAGACTTGCCTCTCTGTAAGGACTGAATTGCTATACGTCCATGGGCTCAGCATTCAGCACAGCCTTAGAGCAAGGCTAGTCATAACCCAAGAACATGGATTATTGTGTGTGATATCTGTGACTGGATTGTCTGGTCTACACTTGATTTTTGACAGGCTACTGTCTGGACAGTTGACTAAGTTTATAACGAGCATGCTTACAATGAACTGACACACATAATGTACTGTTCCTTTTGTCCTGTCCACCTGCTGTGTATTTTAGTCAAAATGCATATAACGAACTTTGGTTATAATGAACTAAAGTTAGTGGTCCCTTTTAGCTTGTTATTACTGTAATTTACTGCAGTTAGGATATGGCTGAGTGTGGCATTAACAAACAAACAAATAATTCATTCATGTTCAATCTTTGTTTTGCTGTACTATATTTCTCACACAGTATTTTATTATAGTATTAGGCTCCGCCCGTCTGTACGTACGTACGTAATTGGATTATCTTAAGAACCGTTAACTGGATTCTTTTCATATTTGGTACCTAGGTTCATCACAGAAAAAGAAAGGTCCCAGTCAGGTTTGGTGACCTTCACCTTCATTTCAAGGTCACAAGGGGACTTTAACGTTTTACCTGCATGTTAAGCTATCTCAAGTACTGTTTACTGGATTTTCTTCATATTCAACACCAAGCTTTATCTAGAGAAGGCGCAGGGCCCAGTCGATTTTGGTGACCTTCACTTAATTTTCGAGGTCACGGCGACACTTTGAAGACTTCAGCATGTTAACCTGCATGTAAAGATTGTCAGCGAGATATCTCAAGTACAGTTCACTGGAATTTCGCCATAGACTTCCAAGACTTCTCTTGAATGTTTTTCAATAAGCAATTTCTTTATTACTATTTTTGCATATTTCATACACTAAGACATTCATGTCAAGGTCAAAGTGAGTTTGTGCGTTTGAACAACTACAGAGCTAGATATCAAGAGAGGTTGACTGGTCATGTTTTTGTTGACATTTAACTTCATCTTAAATTACAACCTTCACTTTCATTACTTTTTAAGTTTGATTTGATAATTTGCGGCGGGGGATTATGTCACCTTAGTGACAAATGCTTGTTGATTTTTGTTTGTTTGCCGTCTGCTGGCTTCATCTGCAGCTTGTATACAGCTCCAGCATTATGACAGTCTGGTATGAAATTTGTGTTGTGAACAGTTGATATCGGACTAAATTATTTGCCTGTCATTGATGGAGAGTTACCAAGGTAACATTTAAAAGAAACAGTTGATACTGGTCAAAACTCTGCTCTCAAATTCTGGGACACTAAGGACCAGTTGACCTTGTAATTGACTGTTTCTGATCTGGATTATCTTGTCACACATCTACTCACCCATCTGGTAGGCTGTTGTAGTCAGTCTATGTTTTACTGCGACTGAGTTAGCTGCATTAGGACTTGTGTAACAATACAGCTTGTTAAAAGAAACACATCCGTTTGGAAGGACTTTCGTTGAAAGTTTGTAAGGGGACTGTTAAATATTGATATGTTGAACCAACAATAATCTTGATACAGAGAATAGATTCCTGAAAACATTTCAGTAACTTTTGCCCGTTCAGAACATGACAGCAAGAGACATGATCTTACTATTTCAGATCCCTGGAGTAAACAGTCAGCCCAACGCTAATCCAGTTTGGATATATTCCTCTGTGCTTGTCTACCTGATCAGTGAAACTGTTGTTGCCAACAGTGAATACATGTAGTGACAGTGAATGTCAAGGTTTACAGAAGCTGACGGATCACTGCTGTTTGACATTTGACAAACCATCACTTGCATCAGATACCATGTATTACCATGACAGCCATCTTGAAACGTGAAACAATGTTGAGATTTTTTCTGTGTACAACTGTTGAGTAGTGTCAGTTAGAGTACAAGCTGTTTCCCACCAGCAACAAGTTGGTTCATCAAATGGCTTTCTGCAGGCAAACTTAGCTCACCTGCTCACTGGTTTGCTCTCAGTCAATATCTGCTCCTCATTTGAAGTTTGAGACGGTGGGGTAGCCTAGTGGTTAAAGCTGCCGCTCGTCTTGCTGAAGACCTGGGTTCAATTCCACACATGGGTACAATGTGTGAGGCCCATTTCTGGTGTCCCCCACCATGATTTTGCTGGAATATTGCTAAAAGTGGCTTAAGACTAAATTCACTCACTCACTCACTTTTGAAGTGTGTTTTGTTCATTGTTTAGTGCCAATCTGTAAATAATTGAGTCTGGACCAGACAGTCAAGTGATTGACATCATGAGCACTGATCTATGCAAATGGGATATGACATGCATCAACAAAGTCAGAGAGGCTGACCAACTAATCCCATCAGCTGCCTCTTACAACAAGCATGATTTGATGAAAAACAATTCTAAACCAGACTTTTGGAAGTGATGGTGGGGTGGGCTAGTGGTTAAAGTGCTTGCTTGTCACACCAAAGACCCTGGAACCATTCCCCACATGGGGGCAAAGTGTGAAGTCCATGTCTGGTGTCTCCAGATTTTGCTGGACTGACTGACTGAGTTTTCTCCTTCTACCACCAACACAAACCAGATAAAAGAACAAACAACAGTGTAAGTCCCCTGCGACACTTGCCAAGGCGTTTATTAAAACTGTACGCGGTACATCACATCACAGTGATGATTAACGCCTCACCGTCTTGTTCCACGCAAACATTCCTTCAAGCAGATTGACCTTCCTGCAAGGCAGTTTCTACGTTTGCACCCTAGAAGAAAAAAGTACGCATATTATCACTGTAGACATCAGATGCTACTGTAACATCTCCTCCACCTACAAGGTAGGTATGACAACACTGCAGCAGTGTTTCTCATTATCATCTCTTCTTGCAGCACCTTAAGTGTCACAAATCAATATGTTCAGTACTGGTGTCGCAGCCGAGAATGAACTTACCGCGCTATGACGTCACATTTATAGACATATCTGACAGCGCCCTCTAGACCATGCATTACCTCCCCTTTTATCTGGTTTGTCCCTAAAGAGAAATCAATTTCTATCTAATTCACCCAGCTCAAACGATAGAAATTTCATTAGTTTTACGCCGCTTTTAGCAATATTCCAGCAACATCACGGCGGGGAACACCAGAAATGGGCTTCACACATTGTACCCATGTGGGGATGCGAACCTGGGTCTTCGGCGTGACGAGCCAACGCTTTAACCATTAGGCTACCCCACCGCCAAGATTTTGCTGGAATATAGCTAAAACAGTGTAAAACAATTCTCAATCACTGATCACTGAGTTTTGCAGGATTGAAGTCCAAGTGAGCTTATGAAACTTAGCCTCTTCTCAAAATGCCCTGAACAAATATATTTTACAATTTCTTCTAAAAAAATAAATAAAGTATATATATAAGACAGGATTAAATGGTGTATGTAAAAATTAATTGCGTTAACATGTCCAGGGATATGTTTTCACTTTAAAAGGGGCGGTGGGGTAGCCTAGTGGTTAAAGCGTTCACTCATCATGCTGAAGACCTGGGCACGAATCCCCACATGGGTACAATGTTTGAAACCCATTTCGGGTGTCCCCCTGCCATGATATTGCTCGAATATTGCTAAAAGTGGTGTAAAACCATAGTCACAGTTTTACTTTCACTTTACAAAAATCAAAACTCAAAGTCTGCATGTATTATCATTTTGGTCCCTTCTACACAGATGCATTTTCTTTGAAAATAATGTGTAGTTATTGAAAAGAATCACATGGTGATTGTCGCAGGGTAAACAGTATTTCATATTGTTGTCTTTACTGTAATTTGAAGTTCTATATTTTGTGGGAAGGTGGGGTAGCCTAGTGGTTAAAGCATTCGCTCATCACGCCAAAGGATCGGGTTCTATTCCCCACATGGATAAAATGTGTGAAGCCCATTTCTGCTGACCCCCACCATGATATTGCGTGATATACCTAAAAGGGGCATAAAACCAAACTCATTCACTCACTCACTATATTTTGTGTATAAATGAAGGTAAGCTACAGTGCCCTATTGACCCCGAGGAAAGCGATATCAGTTAAGTAGCCACCCAGGCTGTGTTACCATGTGCTGACTCAGTTTTCATTTAATTTCAGGAATGCAACCATGACTAGATCATCGTAAACTTCAACGCTTGTGGTGCGTGCATCCCTTCAGTGTTGAGCATGGTGTTGTCAGTGGTAGACACAAGGGGTATGCGATTATCTGAAGCAACCTTATTCTTCAACCACCTATGCAGCATCATGACTAGGTACATAAAAGAATATCACATCTTCTTTAAGCAACCTGATGCTTAAACCACCCGTGGAAAAGTTTCTGAGGAGCCAATACTTTGCATGAACGTGTATAAAACCACAAAGATCAGAAGTTCCACACCAGTTAACTTCTGAATTGATCAACACGTGTTCCGATAGAATTGGAAAATTGTTTGCATTGAGCCACAGCCAGTGTTAATCATCCATCCTAACTGCTGCAGTCAGTAGACGTTTGGTCAGCAGCCATGATCAGGGATGTGAATGGAGGATACTGGGGGCTGGCCATCATCTTGTCAGCCTTCATGATCCAGTTTCTAGCGTTCGGCACAGGTCTGTCGATTGGCCTATACAATATCGAGTTACTTGCTATCACAGGTGATGACGCCTTCTCAGTGTCGTTAGTGGCAGCCATAAACACTGGCTGCTTCCTCGGTTCAGGTAAGTGTTCCACAACTTCACCAATACAACCTGGCCACCATACTACATACTCACTCACACATGTAGTTTCATACTCACTCACACATGTAGTTTCATACTCGCTCACACATGTAGTTTCATACTCGCGCACACATGTAGTTTCATACTCGCTCACACATGTAGTTTCATACTCACTCACACATGTAGTTTCATACTCACACATGTAGTTTCATACTCACTCACACATGTAGTTTCATACTCACTCACACATGTAGTTTCATACTCACACATGTAGTTTCATACTCACACATGTAGTTTCATACTCACTCACTTGTAGTTTCATACTCGCTCACACATGTAGTTTCATACTCACTCACACATGTAGTTTCATACTTGCTCACACATGTAGTTTCATATTCACACATAGATGTAGTTTCACACTCACTCACACATGTAGTTTCACACTCACTCACATGTAGTTTCATACTCACTCACACATGTAGTTTCATATTCACACACACACACATGTAGTTTCATACTCATTCACACATGTAGTTTCATACTCGCTCACACATGTAGTTTCATACTCACACACACATGTAGTTTCATACTCACACACACTTGTAGTTTCATACTCATACACACATGTAGTTTCATACTAGCAAAACACATGTAGTTTCATACTCACACACACATGTAGTTTCATGCTCACATCACACATGTAGTTTCATACTCACAAACACATGTAGTTTCATACTCATTCACACATGTAGTTTCACATACTGTAGCTCACACATGTAGTTTCACTACTCACACACACATGTAGTTTCATATACACACACACACATGTAGTTTCATACTCATACACACATGTAGTTTCATACTCGCAAACACATGTAGTTTCATACTCACACACACATGTAGTTTCATACTCACACACACATGTAGTTTCATACTCATACACACATGTAGTTTCATACTCGCAAACACATGTAGTTTCATATTCACTCACATATTCACTCACATGTAGTTTCATACTCACACACATGTAGTTCCATACTCACTCACACATGTAGTTTCATACTCACACACATGTAGTTTCATACTCACACACACATGTAGCTTCCTACTCACTCACACATGTAGTTTCCTACTCACTCACACATGTAGTTTCATACTCATACACACATGTAGTTTCATACTCACATACACATGTAGTTTCATACTCACTCACACATGTAGAAACCCTTTGTGTTGGTATGCAATGAGTCATGATCACTCATTGCTTTTATATGCTATAGTTTGGCATGAAATGCATGTGGACCCGTCTTTTTGTAAATATCTCTTCATCCAATGGCCCAATCGATCTCAAACTGTGCAAGTGGATGTTGTGTCAGACAACCTAATCACATTGTAAATCACCGATTTTATGCATTTGTATTAAAGAATCTGTCTATGTAACTGTCAACAAAATAAACAGCAGAACGCAGACAGCTTGCAGAGGGAGGGAGCCAATGACCTGTAACAGCAGCAGTGTTGGGTCATAAAGGTAAATGCACATGCAGTTCATGATAGTTACCTGTGCAGTGCACAGTGATAGACCGCTTTGGATCATTCACATTGACTACTTCTAGTTGTCATCATGAAAGCTTATTCAGATGATGCTAAACATTTAATTAGAAATGTGTTGAATTTTTAAAAAGAGAGCAAACATAGCAAAACCGATTTATAAGGTGTCGGATTACATGAAACGTACATAGCTGACCTACATTGATTGAACGTTGACCTTTATGTCATGCCAAACTATAGGTGAAACCCTTTCTGTATATGCAGTGAGTCATGATGACTCATTACTTTCATATGTTAGGTGAAACCCTTTGTGTTGGTATGCAGTGATGAGTCATGCTAGGTGAAACCCTTTCTGTTGGTATGCAGTGAGTCATGATGACTCATTACTTACATATGCTAGGTGAAACCCTTTGTGTTGGTATGCAGTGAGTTATGATGCAGTGTCATGATGACTCATTACTTTCATATGTTAGGTGAAACCCTTTGTGTTGGTATGCAGTGAGTCATGATGACTAATTACTTTCATATGCTAGGTGAAACCCTTTGTGTTGGTATGCAGTGAGTCATAATGACTCATTACTTTCATATGCTAGATGAAACCCATTGTGTTGGTATGCAGTGAGTCATGATGACTCATTACTTTCATATGCTAGGTGAAACCCTTTGTGTTGGTATGCAGTGAGTCATGATGGGCCATTACTTTCAAGGGCTTGGTGAAACCCTGTCCCATGTATTCTCATGTATTTATGTTGCTTTGTGAAATATAATGTTTTTTCTACAGGTCCACTTGCCAGTTTGTTGATGAACTATTTGAGTCATCGAACCATTGTATTGATCGGTGCTGGCCTGAGTTCCGCCAGCATACTCTGTGTGCCCTTCCTGCCAAAGCATAGGCTACATGTACGCTCTGTGGGGAGTGGGTGCAGGTGTGTATAAGATATAGACTACATGTACGCTCTGTGGGGAGTGGGTGCAGGTGTGTATGAGATATAGACTACATGTACACTCTGTGGGGAGTGGGTGCAGGTGTGTATGAGATATAGACTACATGTACACTCTGTGGGGAGTGGGTGCAGGTGTGTATGAGATATGGACTACATGTACACTCTGTGGGGAGTGGGTGCAGGTGTGTATGAGATATAGACTACATGTACGCTCTGTGGGGAGTGGGTGCAGGTGTGTATGAGATATGGACTACATGTACACACTGTGGGGGTGGGTGGGTGCAGGTGAGTGTGGATGAGATATAGACTACATGTGGGTGCCTGTGTATGAGATATATGGACTACATGTATGCAGGTGTGTATGGATAGTGGGACAGGTGTGTATGAGATATAGACTACCTGTACAGCTCTGTGGGGAGTGGGTGCAGGTGTGTATGAGATATAGACTACATGTACACTCTGTGGGGAGTGGGTGCAGGTGTGTATGAGATATGGACTACATGTATGCTCTGTGTACTCTCTGGGGAGTGGGTGCAGGTGTGTATGAGATATGGACTACATGTAAACTCTGTGGGGAGTGGGTGCAGGTGTGTATGAGATATAGACTACATGTACACTCTGTGGGGAGTGGGTGCAGGTGTGTATGAGATATGGACTACATGTATGCTCTGTGGGGAGTGGGTGCAGGTGTGTATGAGATATGGACTACATGTACACTCTGTGGGGAGTGGGTGCAGGTGTGTATGAGATATGGACTACATGTATGCTCTGTGGGGAGTGGGTGCAGGTGTGTATGAGATATAGACTACCTGTACCCTCTGTGGGGAGTGGGTGCAGGTGTGTATGAGATATGGACTACATGTACACTCTGTGGGGAGTGGGTGCAGGTGTGTATGAGATATAGACTACATGTACGCTCTGTGGGGAGTGGGTGCAGGTGTGTATGAGATATAGACTACATGTACACTCTGTGGGGAGTGGGTGCAGGTGTGTATGAGATATGGACTACATGTACACTCTGTGGGGAGTGGGTGCAGGTGTGTATGAGATATAGACTACATGTACACTCTGTGGGGAGTGGGTGCAGGTGTGTATGAGATATAGACTACCTGTACATGCCTCTGTGGGGAGTGGGTGCAGGTGTGTATGAGATATAGACTACATGTACACTCTGTGGGGAGTGGGTGCAGGTGTGTATGAGATATAGACTACATGTACACTCTGTGGGGAATGGGTGCAGGTGTGTATGAGATATGGACTACAGGTGTACAATTTGAGGGACTACATGTACACCCCAGAGGGGTGCAGGTGTGTATGAGATATAGACTACATGTATGCTCTGTGGGGAGTGTGCAGGTGCATTTGAGGTGTATGAGATGCAGGTGTTATGGATATGGACTACATGTATGCTCTGTGGGTGAGTGCTGTCTGACTGTTAGAACACCTGTATACCAGTCCATGGTGCAGGATATGGACTACATGTACATCCTCTGTGTGGGAGTGGGTGCAGGTGTGTATAGCGGCAGAGTTCAGATATGGACTACATTTATGCTCAGGCGATATTGTTTGTGTGCAGGCAGGTGTATGCATGGATATGCTGACTACCTGTGTATATGGACTGTTGTACTCTTTTCTGTCTGGGAGTGGGTGTGTGTATGAGATATAGACTACCTGTACACTCTGTGGGGAGTGGGTGCAGGTGTGTATGAGATATTGACTACATGTACACTCTGTGGGGAGTGAGTGCAGGTGTGTATGAGACATAGACTACATGTACGCTCTGTGGAAAGCTGGGTTTAGATATTTGAGATATAGACTACATGTACGCTCTGTGGAGAGTTGGGTTTAAATGTTTATCAGATAAAGACGACATATTCTCTCCTTGTTGAGTGTAGTTTGACATTTGTTGTCTTGTCAAAGTTTTTTGCCGATATATGTGTCAGCACACTGGATATGAAATGCTGTCTGTTTCAGGTGTGGGGTTTTGCTTCGTGTATGTCCCATCTCACGTGATGAGCGGGCTGTACTATCACAAGCACACCAGTCTCGCCACCGGGGTCGCTACAGCAGGTTCTGGGCTCGGGATGACAGTTTTCCCCATAATAGTTGGCTACCTTATTGAAGTCTATACATGGCGCGGGTCGCTGATTATAGTGGCAGGTTTGATGTTAAATCTGTTCGTATTCGGCCTCCTCTTACGTCCCTTGCCTAGACCTAAGAAGAAGATAGAAGATGAAACTATGTTAGAAAATACAGAAGAAAAAAGTAATCATGATAATGAAACAAAAGAAAAAAGATTCCGACATTTTTTTGGTTTTTGTGTTTTTGAATTCGATGTGTTTTTTGTCAGTAATATAATGTGGAATATGGGTCTAAATATGGTGGTGACATTTGGACCAGATTTCATTCTAACATCACTAGGCATTACAAGTATAGAAGCTGCTTATATGCTGACTGTTTTAGGTCTTTGTACTTTCTTAGGTTCTCTTGTGACAGGTTTCATCGGTAACTTCCGTTGGATGAACAGGATTTTCTTGTATGTACTGGTATGTTTACTGGCAGGCATTGGAGTTATTTGCTTCCCAGTAGCTAAGACGTATGGTACCATGGTGATGCTTCATGGTGTTGTTGGACTTGGGTTTGGGGGCATCCTGGGCCTGCTTCTTATCTTGACGTCTGACCTGCTGGGCCCCGAGAATCTGGGTGATGGCGTTGGCTACCTCATGCTGTCCAATGGTGTGGGATGTTTTGCTGGACCTCCAATCGCAGGTAACTAACCCGTGAAGGTCCGTGTTAGTATTGGTCTTCAGTAATCCATGCTTGTCGTAAGAGGCAAATAACGTGATTGGGTGGTCAGGCTCGCTGACTTGGTTGACACATGTCATTGTATCCCAATTGCGTATATTGATGCTCGTGCTGTTGATACCTGGATTGTCTGGTCCAGACTCGATTATTTACAGACCGCCGCCATATAGCTGGAATAGTGCTGAGTGTTAAACTAAACTCGCTTACCCATATTTGTGCTGATTAGATTCTCCGATCTGGTAATGGAGACCAGCAACTTTAGGCTTCCCTGCAATACTGAGTTGAAATGCTGTGGATATAACTGCAATAAGTTGAGGTTATTTTGTCACTTCAACACAACATTTACATTTTATGTTTACATACAAAGAGTACAGAATCATGGCGTTTTGCCGTATATAGTGGTATTTGGCAAGGTTAGCAGGGTTTCCATGCCAACACAGTGTTGAAGTTTAAAAGAACATCCCCTATGTGAGTTATTACTAATCCTATAAATATGTTACATGTCATTGAGAAGTTAGGTCTATCTAATGGACTGATGCTAATAGATATGTTAACACACAGTGCACAGTGGCTGTAATGTTCTGTGTTTCAGGGGGCTGTGGGGTAGCCTAGTGGTTAAAGCGTTCGCTTCTCATGCTGAAGACCCGGGTTCTTTTCCCCATCTGGATACAATGTGTGAAGCCCATTTCTGGTGTCCCCTGCCGTGATATTGCTGGAATATTGCTAAAAGCGGTGTGAAACTAAACTCACTCACTCACTCTGTGTTTCAGGCCTGTTGAAGGACAGCTTTGGTATCTATGACTTGGCACTGTACACAGCTGGGGCACTGGTCTTAGCCAGCGGTGTCATAATGCTGCTAGTGCCTCTCAAGACCAAACTGACGGGATCAGCCATCTACAGCAAGGACACAGAAGAAGAGGTTGCTCAGGGGAGTTAAGGCTGTACATTGATGGAGGCATAGATCTGTACATTGATGGAGGCATAGATCTGTACATTGATGGAGGCAGAGATCTGTACATGTAGGTGGCATACATCTGTACATTGATGGAGGCAGAGATCTGTACATTGATGAAGACATAGATCTGTACATTGATGAAAACATATATCTGTACATTGATGGAGGCATAGATCTGTACATTGATGAAGACATAGATCTGTACATTGATGAAGACATATATCTGTACATTGATGGAGGCATAGATCTGTATATTGATGAAGACATAGATCTGTACATTGATGAAGACATATATTTTTACATTGATGGAGGCATAGATCTGTATATTGATGAAGACATAGATCTGTACATGTAGGTGGCATACATCTGTACATTATTTTTTATTCAGTCACTGTATTACACAATAGGCTTGAACAAATATTTCAACATAACCCCCAGCATCCTAACGTCGCTTTATTATGAAGCATCGAACAGCAAATGGGACCTCGAGGAGTTCATGGATCAGATACCAATGTACCATAGCTCTGTATATTGATGGAGGCATAGATCTGTACATTGATGGAGGCATAGATCTGTACATTGATGGAGGCATAGATCTGTACATTGATGGAGGCATAGATCTGTACATTGATGGAGGCATAGATCGGTACATTGATGGAGGCATAGATCTGTACATTGATGGAGGCATAGATCTGTACATTGATGGAGGCATAGATCTGTACATTGATGGAGGCATAGATCTGTACATTGATGGAGGCATAGATCTGTACATTGATGGAGGCATAGATCTGTACATTGATGGAGGCATAGATCTGTACATTGATGGAGGCATAGATCTGTACATTGATGGAGGCATAGATCTGTACATTGATGGAGGCATAGATCTGTACATTGATGTACATACATTGATGGAGGCAGGCAGATCTGTACATTGATGGAGGCATATCTGTACATTGATGGAGGCATAGATCTGTACATTGATGGAGGCATAGATCTGTATATTGATGGAGGCATAGATCTGTACATTGATGATAGGTATATTGATGGAGGCATAGATCTGTACATTGATGGCCATAGATCTGTACATTGAGCCATATATCTGTACATTGATGGAGGCATAGATCTGTAGGCATTGATGGATGGTGCATAGATCTGTACATTGATTGAGGCATAGATCTGTACATTGATGGAAGGTGATCCATAGATCTGTACATGGAGGCAGAGCACTTGGCATAGATCATTGTGGTGCCAAGATCTGTACATTGATGGTGCCATAGATCTGTACATTGATGGAGGCATAGATCTGTACATTGATGGAGGCATGATGGAGGCATAGATCTGTACATTGATGGAGGCATATATCTGTATATTGATGGTGGCATATATCTGTACATTGATTGATGGCATAGATCTGTACATTGATGGAGGCATAGATCTGTACATTGATGGTGGCATACATCTGTACATTGATGGAGGCATATATCTGTACATTGATGGAGGCATATATCTGTACATTGATTGAGGCATAGATCTGTACATTGATGGAGGCATAGATCTGTACATTGATGAGGCATAGATCTGTATATTGATGGAGGCATCAATATGTATATTGATGGTGGCATAGATATGTACATTTAGAATTCTGGCAGGGGTATGGCAGCAAGGTTATATAGATGTTCTGTTTGAGAAATATTTTAAGTAATTTTTTAGTATCTGTTTTGGGATTTCATGAAGATGAAAAGAAATATGCTTTAGATGAAAGCAGAATCAAAGAAAGGTATCATTTGTGTGCATTGCATGCTTGGTTTTCATAACCAGTGTTAACCACGCTATTTTTCATAATGTTGTGTTTTCATTTAAGGTTTATGTATATTTGACATATTTGTGTTTTACAGTTATGGTTGTCTTTTGTAACTGTTAATATTTTGAATGTTTACATTTTACAGTTATGGTTGTCTTTTGACAAACTAATTGGTCCTCTCCGATAGCACACTTTTCTTATCTTTCACCTTTACATAGTCGTTACATAATCCTGTATCTCATTGATCTCCAAGGACAGATATGGTTATGTTGGTGATGTTAATGTTACGCCTCACCTGTTTATGTGTAGCTTTTGGGCAGGCTTGAGAAAAACTGAACATGACATTATGAAACTGTATCAGGGCTTTGCAGACCATTGTGATGTCATCAGTTACCATGACATCAGTTACCATGACATCAAATGACATCACAAATATCTACCTCTGAAGCTTATTAGCTATATTTTTTTCTCATAAAACACTTGTTATTACTTTTTCTAAGATGCTTTCCTAAAAGATCAAAGGCTTGACTGTATCAGACAAGGACTTGTCATCTTGTCAGTATGAAACTCAGCACTGAAATCATTGCATTTGACCTATAAATTTACCATGACATTTGGCATAATAATGACATATGATGGGTGCTGACAGTTTTGTGTACTTTATATTCACCAATGGGAAAAGGGATTGACATTTCATGAATGAAACAAAGGCTGAGCCATAATGAATATTCCTCATAAGACCTTTCGGGGCTGTGGGGTAGCCTAGTGGTTAAAGTGTTGGCTCGTCACGCCGAAGACCCGGGTTCGATTCCCCACATGGGCACAATGTGTGAAGCCCATTTCTGGTGTCCCCCGTCGTGATATTGCTGGAATATTGCTAAAAGCGGCGTAAAACTAAACTCAGTCAGTCAGTCATAAGACTAAGTTTGTTTATAAATGAGGCCTAAAATTCCAGACAGTTTTCAGCTTCCATGTCCATACTGCTACTAATGAATATAACAGCAACAAAAGTTTAATACGGCAAGATAATGAATTTTGTTGTTGTTAGATAGAATTTTACACATATTATTTGCCATTTTTGGCTTCTACAGTAAGAAAGTCTATGTGGGGTATTTTCATTTTGTCTTGTTGTAAAGAGAGTCAGCCCCTGTTGCTTTATTTCCTGTACAGGTATAGAATTTCTCTTGAGATTCCGAGATTCCAGGATTGTTCTCAACACCTGCTTATAAGGCTTGATGAAAATCAGATGCACAGGCTCTGGGACATGGTTATTTTGCACAGGTCTGAATAGGTGAGGTGAGGTGAAATGGGGTTTACATCGTACTTAAGAATATTTCGCTCATATGATGACGTGCATGCGTGTGTGAGTGAGTGAGTGAGTGAGTTTAGTTTCACACCACACTCAGCAATATTCCAGCTATATGGCGGCGGTCTGTAAATACTGGAGTCTAGACCAGACAATCCAGTGATCAACAGCATGACCATCGATCTGCGCAATTGGAACCGATGACACATGTCAACCAAGTCAGCGAGCCTGACCACCCGATCCCGTTAGTTGCCTCTTACGACAAGCATGGGTTACTGAAGGCACATTCTCACCCGGACCTTCACATGTTTGCATGCGTGTGTATGTGTATGTGCGGCTGCTTGTACTAGCCCAGACTTAAGCTGGTTTTATAGTGCCAGCCCACTGAGATACCATGCCGCAGTTAAGCATGAATACCCCACTCAGACACATTATACTGACTCCGAGCCGACCAGTGGGCACTTTAACCACTACACCACGGAGGAGGCCTACAGGTCTGAATAGTCCAACAGCGTTCATGTTATCGTTCATCGTACCTCTGTGGTGTGCATCATTGCTCATGTTTTCATCGTACCTCTGTGGTGTGCATCGTTGCTCATGTTTTCATCGTACCTCTGTGGTGTGCATTGTTTCTCATGTTTTCATCGTACCTCTGTGGTGCGCATCGTTGCTCATGTTTTCATCGTACTTCTGTGGTGCGCATCGTTGCTCATGTTTTCATCGTACGTCTGGTGTGCATCGTTGCTCATGTTTTCTGTCAATTATTTTCATCTGTGTATTTGTAACTATTACATTTTCAGACATTTCATGTCAGTTTGAATATATCACCTGAATATTTATGTATATTGGAAATATTTTACAATTTATTTCTGTATAACAAGCTACTATGTTTGTCATATTCTGGGTGAGCTACTAGGTGCCTGGCTTTTCCCAGCCAAAGTCGGATACCGGTACTTCTTGTCTACACAATTTCAATAGAAACCAACTTAGTAAGGTTCATGTTTAACTCATACTAGCAGGGATGGCAACAGGAAAATAAAAATATCGTGGATGTCAGCTTCTTCTTTATTGTATACACAACGTTTCTGGGCTATTCCTGGCCCCTTAGTCATTTCACGGGCAAGGAATAGCCCAGAAACATTGTGTATACAATAAAGAAGAAGTTGACATCCATAATATTTTGTCTTCTACTTGAATATCAACTTCTATATGCATTTCAAGAACCTCAACAGGAAAATCTGGCCCCGATATCTCGACACAACTTTAAGTTTTTACTCAAATTTCAAACTGAGTTTGACAATTTGAAACAGCTGAATTTTTAACTCAACTGCATTTTTGAAATAAAAATGCCCAAAAAACTTAAGTAATGTATCCACCAAACTCGAATTGTCTACTATGTTTGAGTTTAATATCGATTTCAGTTTTTCTGGGAAATGCAGTTTTCTGTGTTTTCTCAAATTTGAGTAAGAACTCTAACTTAAGTCAAAACTCAGACTTTGGGGCAAAACGAGAAATTGGGGCCTGTTTTCAGCTGAAAACTTGATATTGTCATCGAATAGGGGATTCAGGTTTTTTTGATGATTCATAGAATTGATCAATTTGAAATAAAATTGGCAGAAATTTATGGATCAGCAGAAACTTGCCATCCTTGTACTTGTGAAGGAATATGTCTCCTACAGACAAAGACAAAGATTGTTATCCAGCTGGACATGGCAGTGTTTTTAACACAGAGCTGAGTGTCAAATATATGGTTGATATTTGAATCATTTCATATCATCTATGAAGGTTTTAACAGTCCATAACTTCAGTATTAAGTGTTGGGATCTCAAACAAATGGCTGTATGAAATATCCTAGGAGTGTTTTATGTAAATGATGTGAGGTCTTGTGATACTTGCTAGCCTGCCGCTTGACTTAAGGTGGGAGAATATCCATAGGATGTTACACAGGTACTGTAAGTGGTACATCATAGAGGAAATCTCTTGGTATATCTGAGGATATTAAACATTTAATTCAAATAATAGGGACATAACTCAATAGCCGATCTGTGAAGGTCTGGTTTGGAATTGTTCTTCAATAAACCGTGCATGTAGTAAGAGGCGATTAATGGGATCGGGTAGTCAGATTCGCTTGATGCATGTGTTTTTGTCTCAGTTGAGTAGATCACTGTGAATGTCAATCAGTGGATTGTCTGGCCCAGATTTGATAATTTAACCCGTTGTATAGCTGGAAAACTGCCAAGTGTGATGTTGAACAACAAACAAAACTAACTCAAAACTGTCTTACATGTATTGAGATGAATATTGAATAACGAGTATCGATTTTGTGAACGTTTACAATATCGGAACCTCAAAACGGTGAAGGCTTGTTTAATCACATTCCCCTCAAACTGTTGCATCGAGAACGTTTCATCCTTTCGAACTCACTTAAAAACCTAGCTTTTCTCCGGAGTCTATCTAGTCTAGATTTGTTTGAGCGCTGTTGAACAGCTTGAAGTTGGAAAGCAGGCGCTTTGAAATGCATTATTGTTATTACAGGGATGGCAACAGGAAAATCTATTTTCATCTGAAAAATTAATATTGTGTCATCATGATGAATTTGAAATAAAATCAGCAGAAATCTGTGGATCACCCTGTTATTATTATTAAAACTGTATCTCGATGTATCCCTGTTATATTTAGGATTACACTTTTCAGCGAAGTACAGACTTTAGTACATTTTGGTGTTGAGTCCAATGCAGGGAACTGCCAATTTTCACTTGTCAAATTATGTGATCTCGACAAGCAGTTGTCCCACTTCTAGTTCTTAAGTGGGTTAGATCGCTGATTTTGTGTGCTGGCAATTAGGTCCTGGCTTTGAGAGTGTGGGTTCAAATCCTGGATTGGACTCAACCCAAATGTACTAGAATCTGCATTTAACAGAGAAAGTATAATCCCAAATATAACGTATGTTTGTTTTTGTGTTGTTCATTCAGGGATTTGCTGCCGATTCTATCCATTATAGCTGTAACAATGGCACGTTATTTTTCAGGCCAATCAGAAGCTCTGTCTCCATTTGTAGGGGAATCTGTGGCTTCATTAGAGGTAATGCTTTGTCTGGGCATCAACGTTATGTACTATTTTTTTATAAGAAAAGTAGACGCGTTGTTACCAGTAAAAGTATATATGATTTATATATAAATTCTTATCATTGAGACTTCTGAAGGGTGTATTGATGTTCATTTGCTCAAAAGTTTATGAAACATTCAGAAGGTTCATGACAAATGCTTATTATAGTTTTAAATAAACAAGAGTCATCAGAAGATGACAAATCCCCCCCGCCCCCATAAATTTGAAAGAACAAATCAACTGACAACTTGATCCAAATTGTTTCCATGGAAATCATGAAAAATAGAAATGCCCAAAATCTGCAAATAGCAAAAGACAATACTTCAAGATCTGTTTGATATATCTGTGAAGTCTTGCAGAAAGATATTGAACGGTTTCCGAGTTGTGCTCCGGAAACGAAGCTCACCCCTCTCTTCTGAGACTATGTCCGAAACGTTTCCATGGAAACGAAGGAAAATAAAAATGACAAAAATCTGTAAATAGCAAAAGGCACCACTTTGGGATCTGCCTCATATATCTGCCAAGTTTTGCAGAAAGATATTAAGAAGTTTTTGAGTTGTGCTCCGGAAAGGAAGCCCACCCATCCCTATAATTTCCATGGAAACCGGGAAAAATAAATATGACAAAAATCTGTAAATAGCAAGGGCACCACTTCAAGATCTCTCTCATATATCTGCCAAGTTCTGTTGAAAGATATTGAATGCTTTTTGAGTTGTGCTCCGGAAATGAAGCCCACCCCTCCCACTTTGGCATCTGCCTCACATATCTGTCAAGTTTTGCTGAAAGATATTAAGAAGTTTTCGAGTTGTGCTCCGGAAACGAAGCCCAACCCCCCTTTAAGACTAAGTCCAAAACGTTTCCATGGAAACCGAGAAAAATAAAAATACCAAAATCTGTAAATAGCAAAAAGCACCACCTTAGGTTCTGTTTGATACATCTACCAATTTTTGTTGAAAAATATTGAACGGTTTTTGAGATATGCTCCGGAAACAAAATGATTACATGCCAGGGGGGATAATAAATAAATAAACCAAAACAGCAATACAATGTACGAGTGCTTAGGTGGTATTAAGGAATTGACACTGGAATCAAACAGGAATAGAGTTATCATTCTTGTTTAAAGTAGTTCAGATGTTCATGCGCCAGTATGAAATCCTTCCAGAGGGGCATGAGTCGCTATTCAGCTGGTCTAACATGAGTTGGTCACGAATGGTAACAGAATAGGCCCGCAGTGCACCTCCCAGACGTGGTCACCAGTACCCCATGCAGCGTCTCTGAGTTGTGATTCTAGGGCACATTAGGTCTGCAGAGTACCAAATATGGATTCAAGGGCAGAGAAATGTTCATCTCCCTGCAGACGTTCCTTGGCAGAACAGATTACCAGTACGGCATGCATATCTCCCTGCAGGGATTTCTTAGCAAAACAGATTACCAGTATGCCATGCACGTCTCCTTGCAGGGATTCCTTGGCAGAACAGATTACCAGTACCCCATGCACGTCTCCTTGCAGGGATTCCTTGTTAGAACAGATTACCAGTACCCCATGCACATCTCCTTGCAGGGATTCCTTGTTAGAACAGATTACCAGTACCCCATGCAGGTCTGCCTGCAGGGATTCCTTGTTAGAACAGATTACCAGTATTCCTTGTTAGAACATTGCACGCACATCTCCTTGCAGGGACCCTTGTTAGAACAGATTACCAGTACCCCATGCACGTCTCCTTGCAGGGATTCCTTTTGGCAGAACAGGACCGCCTCCGTGGTGTAGTGGTTAGAGACCGCCTCCGTGGTGCCCGAGAGATTACCGGAAGGAAGGTCTGCAGGGGTTCGATCCCGACGCGTCATACCAAAAGACGTTAAAGATGGTACTTGTTGGTCCCTGCCTGGCGCTCGGCATTAATGGGTACAACAAGGACTGGTCGGCTCGGAGCCAGTATAATGTGTCTGAGTGGGGTACTCATGCTTCACTGCGGCATGGTATCTCAGTGAGCTAGCACTATAAAAAACAGCTTAAGTCTGGGCTAGTACAAGCAGCCGCAATATCCCCATAATGGCAAAATACTTATGATTATGCATACACACGCATGCACGTCATCATATGAGCGAAATATTCTCAAGCACGCCGTTAAACCCAATTTCACCTGACCTCACCTCACCTTGGCAGAACAGATTACCAGTACCCCATGTAGGTCTGCCTGCAGGGATTCCTTGTTAGAACAGATTACCAGTACCCCATGCACGTCTCCTTGCAGGGATTCCTTGGCAGAACAGATTACCAGTACGCCATACCTGTTATCCCCCGCAACGCATATTGCTGGGGGGTATTAAAATGGACTCCGTCCGTGCACATTTGTCTTTTCCTGATCAGAACTCTAAAACCGTTCAATATTTCTTCACCAAACTTGGCACATAGATAGATCTGGTGGTGTACTGGTGCCTTTTGGAATTCTGAATAAAATATTTTTGGCATTTCCATGGCAACATGTTTGACAGACTGAAATTGGTGATAGTGCTCCTTTCTGGAGCAGAAATTTAAAAACCTTTCAATACTCTCCTTCCACAACTCGTAAACATAATCATGAAGAGTATTTTGCCACTGCGGGGGATATTGATGACTTTGTCTTCTTGTCAACATTCCATGTCTCTTTAGTAATAGTATTAGTACTAGTCCAATTCCGCTTATTGCCTGCTCACTGGGCTATGTACATTACTATCCCCGGTCATAGGACACTTATGTTGGACGCAATGAACTTAACATTCAAATTGCCAGCACATCCTCATGGGTACCCATTTTACAGCTGGGTGAACTGAGATAATGTTGATGTCCAAGGATACGCGTTCGGCATTAATGGGTACAAGGACTGGTCGGCTTGGAGTCAGTATAATGTGTCTGAGTGGGGTATTCATGCTTCACTGGTATCTCAGTGGGCTAGCACTATAAAACCAGCTTAAGTCTGGGCTAGTACAAGCAGCCGCACATACACATACACACGCATGCACGTCGTCATATGAGCGAAATATTCTCAAGCACGACGTAAAACCCAATTTCACCTCACCTCACCATTCTAGGTTTCGATAGACTATCATCAATTGACAAGTCACACATTTTCAATAGTTATTTTATTTAAGATTTTTTTGTGTATCAGCCAAGCATACATCATAGTATTCAATGCCAAGCAATCTTATCAAATCCATCTGGAAACTGGTACATAACATCATATATCACTGAGATTAAATCAACTGCTGACTGGCTCAATAGAAACACTTAATAAAAGAATTTTGATCCCTTGAAAACAGCATACTCAAAAGAGTACCTGCTCATTCAAACCACCACTGCTGTGGTGGCAATCAGCTATGATACATAATTTGTTCCCATTGGTATGCACGTTTATTAATTTCATTACAACTACACTTTTACAAATTTTCTATGTTTGGCCTAATTATATCCTAAACAACAAAGGCAGCAGAGGCGTGTTTCACTGAAAAAATCTGGTGTCAAATGATTGCGTAGAATGTACAAAAATATTCATCTAAAATCTGTTCTCTGTTAGTGAACAATTAAACATAGAAAAGTTATTTACACATTATTCAAGCACTGCACAAGACTAACCATAGCCAGATCTCCCACCTGTTTAACCAGCTGACACCCCATGTTAATGAAATTACCATTCTTACATTAGTCATCTTATATTGACACTGAGGGTGCACAACAAATGCTTAGCAACTATTTAATCTACATCTAAAAAACAGTATGTGTTCTTTCACAGAGGTAAGTTCACATCAAACTGGGGATTGCAACTGATACAGAGCAACCCCGATACCATATCAATAAAATATCCTCGTCAACATAAAGTGGATGTTTTAGATACAAGTACCTCTGTTCTTCAATTTTGAAGTTTATATCAAATACTGATGTTTTTGCAAATGGTTGTAACAACTATCATTGCTCTATTGTCTATTTCATGATATATATTTTGAGGTGGCTAGCTGTCCCTTAGGATAGTTCAGTCAAGATTATGGCTTGTATCAATTTGTCATATAAAGACTGCATGGAAATGTACAAACAGTGATATGATAAATAGCATTGTACCAAAACAAAACAGCTAAACAAAGACTGCATCCCTAAATATAAAGTGAAATTCAATAGTTGCAAGCAAAGCCCATATGAAATTCAAAAAGTGTTTTCCATCAGAACAAAAAGTTCACTATTTCAAACAGTCACATGGACAATAACTCTCTTGGGGCAAAATACACAATCTGATTCATTTCAAGCACATAAATGGTTCTCTATATCTCGGGCAAGAGGCACTGCCACAGACACCACGCTCACGTAAGCAGAAGCCTGTGTCTTCATTCTAGGGGTAAACATCAAGTAAGTACACTGCTTTATCACTATTCCATGAAAAATTGTCGCAGTAAAGACAACAAAAACCCACTGTCAGCAACCTGGAATCTTTTCATGGAAATATACAATGGTACAACAAAGGTCAAAATGACACAGTAAACTTCGTTACAAACTGTAACTGAACAAATCATTCATAAGTTTTAAACCATGATGATTCACTGACACATACCACTGAAATATTGGTAATTTGTTTGGAAATTTGACAAGAATATTGTTGAATTATTCATCAGTCCCAACAGACGATTCAGTAAGCAACAGAAGAAAAGTAGACTTATTGCTGTGCTATTGATGGAAACTACACTAGAGTGCCAACAGGTCACATACGTTCCTGGATGTCTGAACAATGCCTTGACAAGGTCTATTTGATATCTCTCAAATGCCACCATATCCGTAACAGAAACCCATAACAATAAATTTCTCCATACTATAGTACAATTCTGATTAAAGTCTGAAATTAACAATCATTACCACATCTCATCGAAAATAAGCCCACGTTTGCATGTGCCGTCTCCAAAAAGTAAACATTCAAACCTACTTAAACATTATCTCATTGGTTTTTTCCATTCTAAAACAAATTCTCTGTTGATCTCTTCGAACGTACAGACAGAAAATAACAGCATCATAACATAAGCATAATGGACAATTTAAAAGATTAACTTGATTATTAAAGCAGTATATGATGGTAATGTCATGTTATATCAAGTAGAGATACAATAGTTAATATAATGCATAATATGGACAACTATTGGAATGGCTGGTGGCTTAGTAACCAGCACAGTTAGGATATATATATATTCATATATACTATGCATGGGATACGAGTCAGCTCAGGTTTCAGACTGATTCTGCTCTGATTCATCGTCATCTTCTTCCTCGGCTGCCTGAGTCTTGATTGATTGAATAACCTGGCGGGCTGTCGTCGTGCTTCGAGAGGAAGGCCTGAAACATGAGTGTTCTGCAGTTAAGACTTTTGAAGGATGGTAGAGTGTGAAAAATGTCATACAGGAGAGTACAGAGATATAGTTGACTATATGGGTGACATGCACATTGCATGGTTCACTTGTCCACAATAAGACTCGTATAGAATACCTCGATATGGATATGTACATTCATGCATTAATTTTAAGTGAATTCACTTTTTCAAACTTTCAGAAAAAATAAATATAAAATGTAAAAGAAAGAAATTAAAAAATTTAATATAAATTGTATATTTATATAGTTATCCTATCTTACGACTTGCACCCCTCTCTCTCGCTTCGACTTTTAGTGGAACGGCTAAACTTTTTTCCATTGGCCTCCTTGTCCATTCGCCCGTGCACTCCATGCTGCTCTCCTTAATTAGCTTCCTAGTTCCTAATGAAGCTTGCAGCATGCTCCACTAATTGCCCACGTGACTACCTTGAATGATCATTCTCATCTTGGAGCCAACGTTGTAATCTGAGTAGTGGGGAGGCCGGGCATCCATTGTGTGACATAGGATAAGTATATAAATATACTATTTATATTAAAATTTTCAAATTTGTAAACTTATCCTATCTCACGACTTTCACTTATCCCATGGTTGGACGGCGGGCCGCAGATTACCCTTCTGTCTGGACAGTGCGAACAGCCGTAGATAGCGATGTACAAGGGAGGCCTGTTAGGCATGCACGCAACTCCTATGCTTGCAGTGGGTTCTCCGGAACCCCTTGGCTTACTAAGCACGACGACTCCTAGGGAGATGGGTGCTCCCGAGCGATGTGGTGTTCGGCCGCAACCTTGTACAAGACAAGGGACGCAACTCGGCAAGTAGGCCTCGCCTTGCCGCGATTTACAAGGTACCCCCGTAATTAAAGTCTTGTGACTAGAATCGGGCCAGCCCCTGCTTCGAGAAGGCCCCCAAGACACCGACTGAGGCGGGTGAAAGAGAAACACAACTTGGCATCTCCACGTTTTAACGTTCAGTTCCGGGCAGCATCAAATTGACCCTCACTCCTTTGCCTAAGCTTAGTCAAAGGATGTGACCTGCAACTTCGGAGGCAGAACGCAACAAAATCCACTGGAATTCGAGGTGTCACACTTCACTGACGTAATTGCTCTGTGGAGTAGAGGTCAGTAAGCGTGAATGTCGAACACCTCTGCATCGTCATACTCATTGTGCCTCAGGGCCGTAGGGCCAAGCTAGGTGGCCGTAATCCGATGCCTTGGTATGGTGGCCAAGTGAAGTAGTTCTTAAACCCATATAATGAGAACAAAAGGTTGAGATCCAGTTCAACTTTTATTCAGTATATACAAGGAAGCTGTAAAGTGAACGCGGAACCGTCCCTCATCTGCGTTGTTGGGCCGATGTAAGCTGCTGAGCCAGTACAAGAGGTCCAAACTGGTGTAGTCCCTGGACATCCTTGACAGACAGGTCTTGCAGGTAATGTAAAGGGAAGACTGTTTCAGAACGCCAGAAGCAACCTTCCATGATAGCAGTCAAGGAGCAGTTGCTATGGAGGGCCATCGTCGAGGCTAGTGCACAAGCTTCATGAGGATTTGAAGCGGCTGGAAGAGGCAACCCTGCAAAGGTGTAGGCTCGCAGGATCGTGGCTCGCATCCAGAAGGCCAATGTGGTCCGGGAAATCAGTTCTTGAAGCGGTCCACAAGGTTATGAAGAGGCGCTTTCCTAACAGGGCAGAGTGTCAAATCTTCATTATCATCAGGCCCAAGAATGGTGGACAACGGGGGAATGGTAAACATCCGGTCCGGTTGCCCTTGCAGTTTTTTCGCAATGAAGTCCCAGCGGAGACCCAGGAAAGCCTTGCCATGCTTCTTCCGCTCGAACCGCATCCGATTGACATCAAGTGCATGCAGTTCAGATATACGAGCAGTGGTAGCCAAAGCTACCAGGAAGAATGTCCTTGTCTTCTAAAGGTTCATAGTCTGTAGAAATCATATGACTCGGGAACAGTGGAAATCTTCGTGCCCGTGGTGGTAGCCAAAACCGAGTTGATGGCGGCTAAGTAGGTAGCTAACGTAGTACCCTTGAGTTTCTTAGTAGTGCGGAGATGCTGGAGAAACTCAGCAACGACCTGAGCAGAGGTGGAAGCGGGAGATGGAATTCCCCTAACCTTGCAATAGTCTTCAAACTTCTTCCACTTGTTATCGTACAAGGAACGGGTCGAAGTACGATGCGCTGAAGTGATAGCTGTGGCCATGAGATGTGGATCTGTACTGTGATCCCGATTGGTCAATGGCTCTGTAAGGTGATCTGGATCGTATAGGTGACCTGGGTCGATAAGATGATCTGGATTTGTAAAGTGATCTGGATCGATTCGATGCACTAACTGGAACCTGTGATCGTGCTCTGGATCGAACAAGTGATCTGGTTTGCAGTTGCGATCTGGCTTGATTTGGTGATCTGGATTGGTCCGGTAATCTACATTGATGTTGTGATCTGGATCGGTCCGGTGATCTGATTCGAAGTTGAGATCTGGATCCGTTTGGTGATCTGGATCGGTTAGGTGATCTGGATTGATCAGGTGATGTGGATTGTGACTGTGATCTGGATCGGCACAGTGATCTAGATCGGATTTGTTATGGTGATCTGGATTGTGAAGGTGATTTAGATCGTTGTGGTGATCTGGATTTGGGATTAGGTGACGAAACCCGAAGTGTTGATGCATGATGAACGTCCCCCAGCGACATTGTTGTAGCCAGCTCCGTCTAGTTCAATGAACTGTGGGGGAACAGTTGGCTGGTTGAACACGGTTGGCCAGGCTCCAAACAAACTGAGACGGTCGAGGGGATATGTACCGATGATCTGGAAGATGATAGTGTCGATCTAAGGTCCCCTGGTAGTGTAGATGGGACAGGCAATGATGGATTATCGATCACAACCACCCGCGAGTGATCTGATGCTATGGAAGGAGGTGACTGATGCGCACGTAATAGGTGCCGAACGTCCTCAGGTAAGTAAGAATCTGATGAAGCGTCCATAAAATCCTCTTGAACCACAGACGTCACTCTCTTGCGTGAAGGTACGATTTTCTGACGCTGTAACTTGATACGCTTGGTGGGAGTGGGATCAGATTCTGTTGATTTCCTGTCCCTATCGGCGATTCTTTGGGAGCAAACACGGAGGTAGGCCTAAAAATCCTCACCTTTTAGTGAATTACACTTGCCACATCATTTCTTCCAGGTACATTGTCCAATACAGTAACTGCAAGAGTGAGAGTCGAAGGACGAATAATTCGTCTTGCACTGAGCACAAACTTTCCTTTTCCTTGACTGATTATCTGTTTTCCCCATGATGTTAGGGTGAAATAATGTCCCTAATATACAGCACGTCCACACAGTCGTGCGACAAGAAAGAGACTGATCATTCAAGGTAGTCATGTGGGCAATTAGTGGAGCATGCTGCAAGCTTCATTCGGAACTAGGAAGCTAATTAAGGAGAGCAGTATGGAGTGCACGGGCGAATGGACAAGGAGGCCTATGGAAAAATGTTTACAGTCGTTCCACTAAAAGTCGAAGCAAGAGAGAGAGGTGCAAGTCGTGAGATAGGATAAGTTTAAAAATATAAGCTTAGATAAAAAATTTTTTTTTTGAAAAGCTGCATCATTGTTTTGCAGAAAGGACTGTGATAAAAACATTTTAAAAAACCTGCAGAAAGAGCACTAATGCTGCTGTGGTGTAATGAAGGCTTGTATTGTTACATGTACTGAAGAACTGAAAGACTTGAAGATTTTAAGAGTGCTTCCTCAGTTTGACTTAACAGACTAATGCCTGTCATGTCAGTCATTTGTACACAAGACTAAACCTGTTGTGTTTATTGCACAACTCTCTTTCATCCTTACATCCAGATGGGAATCTATCCAGCAGTGCTCCTGCCAAACTGAACAACAAACACAAAACGGTACCCACAAAACACATCTAGACAGCTAGATCAAAGGGTGACCTCCAATAAGCTGAAGTCTCCCACAGTGCCATTCCTACCAATACACTCCTACATTCAATACCCAATGGACTAAGAAAAAATCTATTTACTTCTTCATAGGCTGAGTCAACTTAAGTAATGATGTTTTAAGTGTAATGTTTACATCACAAAATCATCTTTAGAATCAGAGTCTAAAGAGATGCTACAATCACATTCATTTGTTTTCGTTCAAGTGAACCAGAATGCTTCGTGACTTGCTACATCTGCTCATGCAGGTGACAATCAGCATTCATGGTATGTGTAGGACGTAATAGGTAGATGATATACGATATATAACACTCGTACAGCCATCGAGAACCAGAATGCATCTGCAGTTTCTACATGTAGACATGCAGTAGGCAATGTTTAATACACGTTCATAGTAAACCTTCAACTGTTGTCACATGTCATCTAGCATGCTACACAACACAAAAAATCACACCACACATTTATGACATCACAAAAACTTTACACAAAAACACAGTTACTGATTTCTTACTGTTCGACCTATAAATATTTTCCGATGTACACTCAGGTTAGTACATTATTCTTACACTTCAGCCTGTACAACTACACAAAATAGTTAAACAGCCATGCGTAGATGTTATTTGTGACCAAGCAGTGAGGACAGCTGTTGGAACGATGTATATGTCTATGCTTTCATGACAATATTCTACTTGTAAGCTTTAACAAGACAGTCAAAAACAGTATGCTACGGCATGCCTGGAAACAGATTGTGATCAGCTCGGAGCTGCCTGTGGAAGATGGTTCAAGTCTGTATAGTAGAAGAAACAGATGAAGCTGCCAACTTACAACCTAATCTTGCTGCATTTCACTTTGTCTGACAACAGAGAGTGGTACTTCATAATAACACTTCAACAAAAATGTGCACAACTTTCCCAATGTTGATGAAATGAAATAAAATGAGGACAAATTTGGACTGCATGCGCCTTCTACAATACATTAACATAAGTTCACCAGTATTTCTGAATTGAATTAACTAATCTACTTTGCGAAATTATCACTTCAAACATGCTGTCATTGTTTTATCGATTCCAGAGTTATCAAAGCAAAGCATGTCAACTGTAGCGGATGTTAACATGGAAAACAGGTATGGGACAAGATGTCGTGAAATGGATGCGTTCAATTGGAGATGAGGTAGAAGGAAATACCCAGATCACAACAGATCATTCAAGCCTATTCTCGCTGTTTTCATAATCATCTTACAACACTGAAGCCAAAAAATGAAACCAATGACTTATAATAATATGCAATCCAGGCGATCATTGCAAATGGAAGAGCTTGAGGCCAAGGGATGGCGGAACATGCGAATACCTTTCACTTCTTCTTGGCATCGCAAACACATTTTAGACTGCATGGAAGACAATGACGGATATATGAGGTTATCATGGGATAAGAATGACAAGATTTGTACTGCACTTAGATGTATACAGAAATACATATAATATCGAATACATGAAGGAAAGACGGTACGTTACCTAATGTCTCCTGAAAGGTGACGTATTATTGTAGAATACCATTGAAGCAAAGCATGAATGATTTTGCAAAGAACGTCAAACAGTTTTAGACAGCAGATCTTTCAGCCAAATCAGAAAATGACTTAGGTTTTTAGCTGAATACAGAATTGCTAAATGCAATCATTCCAATCGGAGTATAAAGAAATGCCACACCACTGTCAACTCTTGTAGAGAAGCTATATACTGCAGTGCAACATTTGGACTTCTTGCATGACCATGACAGCACAATTAAGCTGCTATTATGATAGGACTGGTTAAAAATCAGATAACATACCCTCACATTTTGCTAAATGAAAGATGAGATGTCATAAATACAAAAGACACTAAATAATGAAAGTGTTTCGATTCATGCAATAACATGATGGCGATGAAAACAAAGTTTAATGATTGACTTGTCACAAAAAAAATCCACCTGAACAAACCTACTTAACATCTCATGCAGAAACGTACATATATTTGACAACCAACAATAACATTTCTAAAGGTTAACTGCAACTTCTAGAGATACATTTACTATATCATCAATGCTATGCCTCAACAGCTGCTGAAACAGGGAATGCCACATACCTGAATTTTCTTAACTGTGAGATTTCTCGAGATGCCACTTCGTTTTGTTCCATCTGCTCATCGATATCTCTCTGTAGTTTACGTTTCTGAGAGTTGAGACGTGCTACCTCCTCTTCTGTTTCATCTAACTGGCGTTTCAATGCCTTCACTCGGTTGTTCACCTTGTCAAGCTGCAGATGAGAAGACAAACACTTCAACGTGTTGCCAGGAAACTGTACTAGGCAATGACAACTGAGATGAATTTTGACACCATCTGGCAAGGGTATGTTTGATTATGAAGGGGCAGGGTAAAATAGTGTCAGTGTGACAATACAAAAAAGCATACTTTATCACCTGATAATATACTGTCGGTGCATCGATGTAAGATATATTTGACAGTGTCGCTAAGAAATATTACTATATCAAGAAATTATAAAAATATATGTATTCATCACTTCTGTAAGGGTTAATTTTAACTTCTGGACATCTTGCCGGCAATAGGTTAATAAGGTCCATAAATTCAGCCTGCACCACCCTGCGACCAACCCAACTGACCTGTTCCTTATATTGGTCAGCATGTCTCCTCTCGTCTTCAGCCTGCAACACTAACTCCTTCAGCTTCTTCTCCAATTTCCGACCTGATCTCGCCAATGTTGCACGTTCCCTGGAACACAGAAACATGACACACTTGTAGAATAATAAAAAGACTGTAACCAACTGTCAACCTTACTGGTTATAGAGAGTGAATTTGGATTTATGCTGCTTTTAGGAATATTCCAACAATATCGCAGCGAGGGACACCAGAAATGGGCTTCACACATTGTACCCATGTGGGGAATTGGCATGATGAGCGAACCCTATAACCACTAGGCTACCACACTGCCCCTTTCCTTACTGGTTAGAAGTGCTGCTCGTATCACAGTACTAGTGAGCATGTTGATTTTGTGCTTGTTGAAAGTGAAAAGTCTCTCATACTGCAGATATTCACTTACTTATTAGAGGACAAAACAGTACAGTGTTGATGCAATTTGGCATTGCACTGGTATCAACAACAACCCAATAAATCCTTTTAACTCACTTGGCTTCGATTTCGATCTGCTCCTCTAGATTGACTATCTTGCTCTCAAGGGCAGCAATAGTAGCCTTGGTTCTAGACCGGTTCTGTCCCTCCAGTTCTGCTAACTTGTCTCTCATGTCCTTGTTATTCCTCTCTAGGGCAGACTTCTGGTTCTCTAATTTTAGGGAAAGTGTCTTCTCAGATGACAAATCGGCACTCATCTGCTCCATCTGAACAACAGAGTAGGAAATTCAAACCTTGGTCTCCATGTTGAAGGGCTATGTAAGCGTTTGGTCCCAGCAACCATCAATATGACAACACATAATCAAGTCAGCAAACACTGACTGTTACAAATGATTTTACAACCAGCATATGCTGGGGACTTTTTCTAACAAGAAATCCCGGTAACATCTGTGTACATACCTGCATAGTTGCCTTCCTGGCCTTATCTGTCATTATCTCTGCATTGCCATGTTCATCCTCCAGCTCGTCCTCCAACTCGCTGATACGAGCCTCCAGGCGACGCTTCTCATCAAGGAATGCATTCCTGGAATATACGTAAAAGCTCATTTCCCAGTTCAAATTGTTAATCTTGAACAGTTACAGAGATTTAAGAAATAAGTACATGTATTAATTTGACTCAATGATATGCTTGTCTGTGCTGCCAAATGTGCAGGACGAAAGTACGTTAAAACAAATTAGCATTCATTTCGCACAATTCTAAAAGTGTGTGTCAACAGAGTTTTAACTTAAAACATTATAACTTCGGTACATCTAAAGCTAGAATGACATGAATCCCATGAGCTTGTGAATGAAACACAAATTTACCAACCACTTTTCAATCAAAGATCTATGTCAGTCAGTCAAATCTATCACAACAAACTCTCAAACTCACTTTCCACTTGCTAGTGTTGTGAGTTCATCTGCGAGTTCATCACGCTCTCCCTCCGCGTTCCTCCTTGCCCTTTCAGCCATGGATAACTCCTCCTGCACCTTCAGCAGCTCTGCCTCAAGGTTCTTGATCTTCCTCTCATTGTCCTTAAAGCTGTTTGCCATCTCTTCCCGGGATATCCGCAACTCATCCAGCTCACGCAGATACTCCTTCGACTGAGACTGGGCCCGCTTGTATTGCTTCACAGCATCATCCTTCACCTTGTTGGACATCTCTAACTGACCTTCAAGGTCTTTCAGGTCACCCATCAGCTTGTTGCGAGCACTTGTGGCAAGCGATCTCTGTTTGCGTTCATCTTCCAATTCGGCTTCCATTTCTCGCAACTGTAATATGCAAAAATACCCTATACACTCACCTTAACACAGAACTTACTCCTTTTATTTAATATCTACATAAACTTATCCATCACTGATTAGAAACTGAACCTGAAATAAGCCAAAACATGTGAGCAAGGCTCACTAATACTCAACTGTGACTGCAAACTTCAGCTGAATAACAGTTAATAAAGATTATTCTTGGCAACAATACAATATCCGTGTCAAACTGTGCACTGCACCTCTCCTATAAACAAAGAAGCCATTACCCAAATCTGGAAACAATCCATTTAATGATTGGAAAGTCATTGGTTTAACAAATCTGAAATGGCACTTCCAAGTGCATGAGATGTAATTTGGGATAATTCCAGATAAATTGTTCACCTTTCTCACAGTTACACTTCCAAAATATATCCTACTTTCCATCTGTGTTGGTATCTAATGCAAACTTTAAGCAAGACAAGAGTATTAACCACTGGATTATATACTATGCCAAAACATACCTGCTTAAGAATAGACTTCTTGGCGTCATCCACCAGGTCATCCCGACCCTGCATGTCGCGGTCATACTGAGCTCTGAGGGCCTGCATGTTGACCTCGAGTCGGAGTTTGGCATCCTCTGAGAGCTGCAGCTCATCTTCCAGCTCCTCAATCTGAGTCTTCTGTTCATCCACCTGTTGCTCCAGCTGCCGCCGGGCCTTCTCCAGGTCATGCACCTGACATCAAACATGAATTGTCATTCAGAGTTTCTGGTAAATCATTGCTTGCCATGTTAAATGTTGCAAAAAAACTTACAAGACCAATACTGTCGATATTTGTCACTTGGATTATATCCATATTCATGATTGTCATGCCTACAGAGCTAGGACCCATATAGAGGATCATTGCATCCATACATCACAAATGATAACTTATTCATTTGAATTACAACTTCATACATCTGTTAAACCCCAATATTATTTTAGTGGTCACTACTAATGTGCCCTCAATATCCTAATTTCTTAAAAGCAAATACTATTGAAAGGCTTTAAGTTATCTCTTGCTATGAAACTTCAAAACATTAGCCAATTTAAGGGAAATAACATAAAAAAAATGTTTCCTAACACCACTACTATTGGCTGTTCATGCAAAGAGAGTGCCTGCTTTTCTGCTTACAGAACTCTGAAGATCCTAACAAAGTCTCTCTGAGATGCTCATCTACTTACATTTTTGCCAACATCATCCTTGGAGGACATGAGATCGTCAAGCTCCCTGGCCTGTTGTTGCTTCTGCCTCTCGGAAGACTCTAGCCTCTCTCTCAATTCTTCTAGGTCCCGGTTCAGGTTCAAGATCCTTGTCTCCTTATCCCGACTCTCGGGCTCAATGCCGTCACGTTCAGCTGCAAGTCTGTGGATGCAAACAATTACAAGGAGTTCAGAGACATGCATAATTTGCCCACCATATGATATTTTTTATCATGAAGATGGACTGGGCATCAGGAAGAAACACTCCTTGACAGTTTCTCATCCTGATAGCTTTACAAATCATTACTGTATATCCATGTAGACTGTAAACTTTACAGTAAGTACACTGAAGTCATTAGTACTGTCAGCAGGGCCAGGGAGTAGGTAGCACCTGATAAGAATGCAAAGCCAGTTCCACAACCATGACCAACTCATTACCAACAAATTGTAACTAAATTCTGAATAAGGAACTGTCAAACCATACTGAAAGACGCCAACTATCTGACAATCCATTCCATCTTCAACTAGCTCTTACAAACATGGTTCAATTGGGAGGGAGCTAATCAGGCCAGAGGGCTGAAAGCCATACTGAAAGACGTCAACTCTCTGACAACCATTCCGTCTTCAACTAGCTCTTACAAACATGGTTCAATTGGGAGGGAGCTAATCAGGCCAGAGGGCTGACAGCCATACTGAAAGACGTCAACTCTCTGACAACCCATTCCGTCTTCAACTATTTCTTACAAACATGGTTCAATTGGGAGGGAGCTAATCAGGCCAGAGGGCTGAAAGCACAACCCACCTTTCTGAGATAGCCTTCTCTTCATTCAGCATCTGGTCAAACTTGAGCTGTTTCTTCTCCATCTGACTGGTAGTGGACCTCTGACTGTCACGCTCTATTGTCAGGTCCTCCACCTAATCAAAGTATATTGTGTAATGCATTGATCAAAAACCTACAACTGCTTTCATCTACATGTGAGTGAGTTGGGTTTTACGCCACTTTTAGAAATATTCCAGCAATATCACGGCGGGGGACACCAGAAATGGGCTTCACACATTGTGTCCATGTGGGGAATCGAACCCAGGGTGAGAGAACGCTTTAACCACTAGGCATAGCATTTGGGGGTTACAAAGATTTGGATCTTTGGATCTGGGACACCATGGAAATAACGTGACTAGCCATGTGGCATGTTTTTACAGCAGCAATAGCAATGGCATGAGAGCTGTTAATTCTGCAGCCAGAAATCTTTCAGCTGTATCATGTCAGCCTCTAGATACTGAAGTCTGGACCAGATAATCAAGTGATAATCAAAAATCGTGGACACAGTTACATTCAATCAACCAAAACAAGTGACTATACACACTAGACATTTGTAAGTTTAGCCTACCTCAGCTTGCAGCTTCTTGCGGGACTTGTCCAGCCTCTCATTCTGTGTGCGAGCCTCCTCAAGTTGAGCCTGTAGAGCATCCATGTCACGGGCAGCCTTCTTCCTCACCTCCTCCAAGGCCTCAGCATTAGCAGTATCATTTTCAAACTTCTTCTTCATGTCAACCATCTGCATTCACAGAGTGATGTCCATTAATCATACAGTTTGCCAATCAACAAAGCAACTTCCTTCTATCCAGGACTTCCATGACGTGAAATTCTCAGCTGTCTCAACCATTCATAGTGGGAATAAAGCCTATCAGTATATAGTTTGTGAATTCAGAACAATACATCCCGAAATCACAATCTTATCGAAGCTGGTATAAGAATTCCTACAGTCAAAATATATCCTTATAAACCAATAAATAAGTACTCTCACAGATACAATCATTATCCAAGCTGACCATGATGGTTAGTTCAACCAAAATCAATATAAAAGTCAAGACTCCACTTGCCTTGTTATTAGCTTCTCCCAATTGCCTCTCCAGATTCTTCTTAGATTCCTCCTCCTCCTCAAGTCTGTCTGCAAGCTGGCCGATCTCATCATTAGCCTGACGTAATTTGGATTGGGCAGACAGTTTTTGACGAGTCTCCTCTTGCATTAGATCCTGAATTACAAACAAATTTTCAGATCAGGCAAATAACAAAAGCACATTTGCATCAAAGCTAGAAACTGTATGAAAAGTAGGAAGAGATAGGAATTATGTTAGTTAAGCAATACACCTGCTCTCTTACCCTATGAAACATATTGGTCTTCATGGGTGTTTTTATTCATGTCAACCTATTCAACATCTGTAGCAGAAGATACTTTTCCAATACAATAAGAGAGATTCAGGCAATAGTGCAGTACTTAATACTCCCAAGGGGCTGTACTGTCAATTTGTTGTGTATGGCACACTATAAAATGTTCATATCACATGGAAACGGTCAGTCATACACTGAACCTGGGCAGGCACTGCAGTGATTAATATTATAACAATGCATGTCCTCGGAGTACGATGACACAAGATCAGTCAAATCACTTAGCCTGACCACCCAACCCATTTGGATGTCCCTTCCAACCTTTACATGTTGATGGACAAATTCTACCCTTGGTTTCACATCCCATCCCCTGAGCCATACCTGAGAATCAGCCAACTGGGCATCCAGACTGGACACCTTGGAGCTCAGCTGCATAGCCTTGGTCTCCGCCTGCTCCAGCTGCTGGCCGGTGGTGTCTAGTTCTGTGGCCAGCTTCGTCACCTTCTCGATAGTCTCGCCTCGGCCCTGGTCCAGCTCCTGCAGCTTAATGGAGGTCTCTTGCAGCTGCTGCTCAGCCTGCTTCCTCTTCCGCTCAGACTCCTGCTTGGCCATCTGGACCTGCTTCAGGTCATTAGCAAGGTCCTGGTTCTCGGCTTCCAGAGTCGTCTTGCTCTTCTCCATCACATTCTTGCCCTGAAATCCATCAGAAATCAATCAGTCACCATTGTTGGCTTCTTCATATAAATTTTAGCTTCAAAGTCTGTGGAAGCTTTCCAACAAAGCAACACTAGACCGTGAACTGAAAAGTATTGCATTAAACAACATCTTAATTTGGTTTAATTTTTGGCATACATTGTTACTAGTAAACATATTGATCAACTGCAGGTTTACTAGAAATACTTTTTCTCTCTCTCGGATTATTACTCTGCACATGCGGCCAACAAGCTCACTTCTGTTTAAAAGACTAGGTAGTGTGATGACAGTCAAAATGCAGGATTACAGTATGCTATAGAGCTGGCATTATTTGCTGGAATTTCAAGTTTTAACATGGGTTGTTGTGATTGAGTGTTCACCTTCCTGACTGTCTCGATCTCTTCGCTGAGGTTCTCCATCTGCTGTTGGTACTTATGCCTCATGTCCTGGATGCCCTCCTCATGCTGACGCTGAGTTAAGTCCAACAACTTTTTCAGGTCCTTGATTTCAGTCTCACGCTTGTTCCTTAAGTCCACAGCAGCTGCTGTGCTGTCCAACTCGGCCTCAAACTCTGTCTTCAGAGCCTCCAGTTCCTACAGGTAAATAGTATACGGCATTAGTGGACAAGAGCTGTTTCTACAATACTATCAGTTAGGATAGGAAAGAGTCCTTTGCGGAGATTTACGCTATATAATGCTATCCATTATTATTATCTAACGAACCACTACAAGTAACTTTAGATTCAACAATGAAACGCTGAAGAAAATGTCACCTAAATAGTCAATTACATATTGTGGAAAGTGAAATTTCTTTCACAGGCTTATGGGTAAGGTGCTGAGACACCCAGGTTCGTAATCTGATATTCAATGCACCTAATATGACCACTTAGGTGATGCTTCATATCAGTGGGAAAGCTTTGCCCAATGAATTGCAAAGTGTACATTATTTCCACATAGTGAAGGATCATTATAATATCTGCCATGAAAACTTTGACCTTGTAACCCCGGGCCCCTTTTCACAAAGCTCTCGTAAGGCTAAGATCTCGTAACTTTCCTCGTAACATTCCTACCTCCTATACTGTAACATTGACTTACGATAGTCGTAGCGCTACGAGAGCTTTGTGAAACGGGACCCAGGACAGGCATGTAAAAGTGAGGTGTGGAACAAGCTCAGTGCACTAGTTTTCACCAACCTCATTAAGGTCCCTCTTCTGTTTCTCTGCCTTATTTCTGCTCTCCTTCTCAGAGTCCAGGTCCTCCTGCAGTTCCTGAACCTGGTTCAGATATTCTCTGATCTGCTTGTTCATGTTCGACCTTGTTATGGACTCCTCATCAGTTCTGGAACATGAACCACATAATATACACCCATCAACTCTGCCATGATCACTGATGTAAGTGAATCTTTGCATCTATGCAAGCCTTCATGTTTATTAATTCTATATGACCTCCCCATCACTAATATATTCATTAAATCTCAAAGTTGCCTTGCTTTAAAATACCATTACACAGTCCCAAGACCAAGTCTTTCACTTAACAAAATATCTTAGATATGGTCCCCACAACCATTAAATTTCTCAAAGTGTTTCTTACTTCTGAAGGGCCTGCTGCACCTCCTCCTCACGTCTGCTGAGCTGGGTCTGCAAATCCTCAACCTGCTGCCTTTTCTCATTCAGCTGGTCACGCAGGTCATTCAGCTCGGACTCAAGCCTTCGTCTGATCTTCTCCAGCTCCTGGCGAGCCTGCTGCTCCTTGCGGAGCCTTTCCTCCAGATCTGCAATGATGGCCTCATACTTGTTCTTCAGCTTGCCCAGCTGCTTCGCCTTCTCCTCCTCTTCCACCATCTGTGATTGAACGTCATTCATACGCTCTTCCATCTGTTTGCGTTCCTTCAACAGTTTCTGATTCATGTCCTCAGCTACTGCCATGTCCTCCTCTATCTTCTTCACCTTGGAATCATTTGTCACCTTCTCCAACTGCAGTTTCTGCCGAGCCTGTTCCTCTTCCTCCAGCCTGTAACATGGATCACTGACTACAAGCACAGCACATTAAAGAAGGTCTTCTTATTCACAAGCCAGATTTTGTTATTGCTTGGGTTACACTTTGCTTGAAAGTGTTTTAAACTATTTTGAAATTTATCAGGTGTCTTTTCTATAAATTAAGGTGATTTTGAAATATACCACACCTGGCCTTTCATGATAATGATAGGAATACACAGGTTGGAAAGGGATAGTACATACTGTTCTTCCAGATCCTGTATCGTCTGGTTGTATTTCTTTTTCTCATCCACGAGAGCATTGCATCGATCTTCCTCCTCTTCAATACGCAGCTCCATATCATGCAAGACATCCTCCAGTTCTTGTTTCCGAGCAGCAAGCCGAGCTCGTGCCTAGACAGCAAACAGATACTCCATGAACCATTGCACATGTCGTTGTACGCAGACACGGTTACAATGTTTAGTTATTTTGAGACATAGAACTTTGAGAATGTAAATGGCACAAGGCTGATTATCCTGATTATTAATTATTACAAGATGTTTGAGGACCTAATCTGACAAAAATGGTTTCAAAACCTCCTGTGAGTGATGTAATCAAAAGCACTTTGTTGAGCATTCACCTCTTCAGCCTCTTGACAAATGGCACTCTCAGCCTCTAGCTGTTCAGCCAGGATGTTCTTCTCCTCAATGATCTGTGCATAGCGACGCTCGACCTCATCATAATCCTGCTTCTGTTTATCAAAACTGTCCTTGACCTTCTTCAGCTCCTCCTCCACCACCTTCTGTTTCTCTTCCTGCCCTGTCACCTGCAGCAGCGGCTTCACCTGGAAGGGGACAAACAATACAGGAATCTGCCTACCAGTACATTAAATACATTCTTCACAGCTTATCTTCCTCGGAGGGAAAAAAATGACCCGTTACATGCGATACACAGAAAATCAAAAGAGCTCTGTTTCTGATGAGTGAGAATAGTTTTCCACTGTTTATAGCTGCATTCCAGCAATATAACAGCAAGGACACCAGGCACTGGCTTCACACATGGTACCATTGTGGGGAATAGACAAACACTTTAACCATTAGTCTGGATGATGATGTCTGTTAGCTTGAGGCAAGATGATCTCAAAGCAAACACAGCACCATCATATTCTTTTGTTTTTGACAGAGATAATAATTTTGAAACAAACTCTACCAAAATGTTCTTAAATACAAAGTTACTGATAGTTTGTGTTACAAAGTTGCACTTTAAGTGCTAGACATCTAAAATGTTTTCAGTCTAGGTGAAAATATACTGCTGACCGAAATATTATGTCTTCAAGCCATGAAGCATTGTTATTGAGTCTTAATAGTACCGATGTAATGGTTAACTGAAACTATGGAATGGTATTATAGCTTCAAAAAGCAAAATAGCTTAAAAAGACAAGTAGGCGGCAACAGGGCGTGTATATTTACCTTAGTGAAAAGTCTCCACCACTGCCAGTTCCTCAGCTTGAGGTAGGCAGCACAGTTTCTCTGAATCACACGGATAGCATTGATCTGCTGCAGACGTCTCATGTGGTTTCTGGACAACAAAAACAACAAATTAAACTAGCAGTTTAGCAAAATGAACCACAATGGGTCTATCAATTTTCAGACTCACAGTAATAAAACATGTGGTGGCATGCAGTCATTACTTTATTGATTGACACATATCTTCTTCAAACCGGACAGATAAATGGTCTCCACATGACCTACCTTCTGGCCAAAAGTCCCCTGGCCAGTGCCTGGAACTGGATAATGATGTCTGTGAGCTTGAGGTCTCTCTCCTCCTCCAGGTGAGCCAACACTCCAGCACGGAAGAAGATCTTACTCTGACCGACACGGAACAAGTTCCCATCCAACTCCAAGGCACTGATCTGTTAAGTAAAAACATGTTGATGTGCACTTTAAAGATTTAACAAGAAGACAAAGTCATCAATATCCCCCGCAATGGCAAAATACTCTTCATGAATGTCTACGAGTTATGATGTCAAATGTTTTGGCGTGTACATAGCTAAGTGGAAGGAATGTACTGAAAGGTTTCAAAGTTCTGCTCCAGAAAGGAGCACTACCACCAATTCAGATGAAGCCAAACTTGTTGCCATGGAAACGCTAAAAAACCATTTTATTCAGAAATCCAAAACTAGCAAAAGGCACCAGTTCACCACTAGACCTACCTATGTATGAAATTTTGTGATGAAACAGTGAACAGTTTTTAAGTTCTGCTCCTGAAAAGAGCACTACCACCAATTTCAGTCAAAGTGAAACTTGTTGCCATGGAAACGCCAAAAATATTTTATTCAGAAATCCAAAACTACCAAAAGGCACCAGTTCACCACAAGACCTACCTATGTATGAAATTTGGTGATGAAACAGTGAACAGTTTCTAAGCTCTGCTCCGGAAATGAGTACTACCACCAATTTAAGTCTAAGTGAAATCTGTTGCCATGGAAACGCCAAAAACACTTTATTCAGAAATCCAAAACTACCGAAAGGCACCAGTTCACCACCAGATCTATCTACGTGCCAAGTTTGGTGAAGAAATAGTGAATGGTTTTAAAGTTCTGCTCCGGAAAAGAGCACTAACACCAATTTCAGGCTAAGTCAAACTTGTTGCCATGGAAACGCAAAAAAATGTCATGAATGTCTACGAGTTATGAATGTCTATGTGCCAAGTTTGGTGATGAAACATTGAACGGTTTTAGAGTTCTGCTCCGGAAAAGAGTACTACCACTAATTTGAGTCTAAGTCAAACTTGTTGCCATGGAAACGCAAAAAATATTTTATTCAGAAATCCCAAACTACCAAAAGGCATCAGTAAACCATCAGATCTATCTATGTGCCAAGTTTGGTGAAGAAATATTGAACAGTTTTAGAGTTATGCTTCGGAAAAGTCAAATGTGCACGGACGGACGGACGGAGTCCATTTTAATACCCCCATTTTAATTAAGGTCATCTGTAGTATGAATCAAAGATACAAACACACAAAGCGAGTCATTTCTTGGAGGGGGGATGGTTCTGACAAGCAATTCCATTTATGTTAAAGTGTCAATATTCTTCATAATAATGACTGAATGATTCACTCTGAAGCATACTTCAGTTATAATTCCATGAAACCATCTTCAATTCTCTCTCTAATCTTTGTTCTCTCTCTTATTAAACTGAAATCACTCATACACATCTACTTATTTATTCTCTCCTTACAAAGGAACAATGGGCGATGCACATTCATATCTTAAACCAAAATTAACAGAACTAATACACATACTTACCATTTTCTCCACAGCCTTTTTGCCATCCATGAATCCTCGTGGGATGGCATTGGGTGTGAGGATCTCATATCGCTGTCGGAACTCCTGGAACAGGATTCTGTTGGGGAAACCTTGACGACAGATTCGGATGCCCTCCAAGACACCATTACATCTCAGCTGCTCCAGCACAAGGGGAGAGTCTATCTTTCCAGCCTGGAGTTGGAAAACAAAAGCATGAGTCTTTGTAACTGGGCACTGTCGAGGATACATATTAACCAGAAACCTTTTCTAGCCCAAATAGTGGTGGCATATGACCCCCCCAAATATCTGAAAATCATTAGTTCATAGAATACCTTACATCAGAAATACTGACTCGCCTAGATGCATGAAAGTTGTTAAGTCCAACAAAGCCCTAGTTAACAAGTGTGAGAGTTAACGGTCACTTTGACAGTATCATGTACTTCATGGCTGCCAGGTGTATATTATAAGCTGTTCACCAGCCACGAGGGGGCATGGGTTGATGTACCCTTGATGTTTGTTTATGTTCCCTGAGCCCAAAGTATATTACACCTGGCATGGCTGCCAGGTGTATATGAGCAAATATGACGTGCCTTATGACCAAACAACATAAAAATAACAGTGTGATCATTCCAAACTTCCATCGTGTCTTAAGAAAAAGCATCTCAGCCCATTAACTCATCTCGTCTTCCACAACACACATATTTATCCTGATTACACCTGCATCTATTTACCTTCTTTTCATGATTGGGAATGATACATCTGACAAAGTTGGGGTTGGTGTTTCTCAGGGTGGCCATGAGCTTGGCTAGCTGCTCCTTGTACAGTTGACCCACGGTACGGAACATGCCCTTGCGTGTCCGAGACCCAAACATGGTGTCCACAGCAGCCGCTGCTCCCATCCCAACAATCTCAGCTGAAACACGGAGGTCGTCACCATTATACAAACTCTTCCCTAAGTGACAGCTGTCCATATAATTGAGTAGGACCCTGGCAAACCCACAAGGAAATTACACAGGATCCTTGTTACACAAAGTTACCATAATTTTAAGATGAACACAGAGGCATTTTTTTTACAACAGTCAAAATGCTGAGATTGCTTGAAGGAACAGGGACGCTATCTACAAAGTATTCAAAGTATTACATCATCCATACGTCAATGATAAAGCATAGTTACGATAGGTCATAACATTACAAAGGCTTTAGAGACTTTGTGGATTGGGACCCTGGATGAAGATCTCCATTTCAGTCTGCTCTCTCAACCATCACGAGTGACTGAAGCATATCTAAACCATCAAGGTGTGACGTGAAAGAAAAACGTCTACTTTAAATTCTTTTTAAGTAGCATAAAATGCTAAAAATGAGTGAGTATAGTTTTATGCCGCACTCAGCAATATTCCAGCTATATGGCAGCAGTCTGTAAATAGTCGAGTCTGGACCAGACAATCCAGTGATCAACATCATGAGCACTGATCAACATAATTGGGAAGCTCGATGACATGTGTCAACCATGTCAGAGTGCTTGACCACCCGGTCCCATTAGTTACCTCTTACGACAATATATATGCTCATAGAGCCACTTAAAGCCATACCATCTTTCCAGATTGATGTTACAAAGTTATCAGAGGAAGCCTGCATCAATGACACCACATTTTCATTGAGGGGATCCATGTTCTTCAAAAGCCAGTTGGCAGCCTGGTAGTCAACCTGTAAACAAGGGAACAGTGTTCAGTCTGTCATTCAAAATCTTTACTTTACATTATAAAAATTGAATTTCGCAAATAAAGTGGTCACGAATCAAATGCATTGGGATTTTGAGACTGCAACAGGCTTATCCCCTTTCAGATCTACAAGCCAGGGCCCCGTTTCACAAAGCTCTGGCCCAAGATCGTGAACCTTTCAAGCATGGTAGAATTTGCTAACAGTAACACTGAAGTGAATGCTGGAGAAAAGATACTCTAGATCTTGAGGTCTATGAGCTTTGTGAAACGGGCCCCATCTATACATTTACTGCTCAGAATGCTCAAAAATATTTATCATATTTTCACTTTGTATGAAAGTTGTTTCACTCTGCAGTCAGAGATACTCAAGCTACGTCAGCAGTGTGAACAACATTCAGGGTATTACCTATCTTGGTATAATGATGTGCAAGTCATGGAACCTTACTACCAGATCCCAATACAAGTAACAGTTGTCAGACAATACCAGGACTGACTGACAGTTTGGTTTTACGCCGCTTTTAGCAATATTCCAGCTACATCACGGCAAGGGAACAGCAGAAATGAGCTTCACACATTGTACCCATGTGGGGATTCGAACCCGGGTCTTCGGCGTGATGAGCCAACGCTTTAACCACTAGGCTACCCCACCGCTCCGACAATACCAGGAGCATGGATACAAACTGTCAGATGACAGGTAACACATAGTACTGAAAGAGTTCCCCAGTCTGTTTACTTAGTCTGCCGGCACAGTCAGATGACAGGTAACACATAGCAATGAAGAGACCCCCAAGTCTATTAACTTGCCATGCCTCTAGAGTCATAGTCTTGTAGCATTGAAGACTTCCCTGGGCTATATACTTACTCTGCCAGCATAGTGAACAAGGGAGAAGTCAGCATCTGCTCTGAAGTCAGGTTTGTGGAACTTCGGGTGACCAGTGTGCTGGGCAGTCAGTTTCTCAACAAACGTCTTGTCTGTGGCCTTCGGGAACCAACACTCTTCATCCAAAAAGAGCCAGGATACCCATCGGCTGTGAACAAATAACACAAGTACGTTAGCTGATGGGTGAAAATGAGTATGCTAAATCAGACCTCAACCAGAATCTTTGTGAAGTTTTGAGTGAAAAGATCACTCTATATTACTGTTACACACAGGAATTCACATCCATGCATTTATGTCCTCTTTTATATAATATCACATTATTTTTGCCACAGGTCATAAACTATGCTTCATATGAGGACTACTTGACATGATGGATAAGCTAACCTTCTCCAGAAGGTCAATAGTGGGCTGCAGATCAAGACCAAAGTCAATGAACTTCCACTCAATGCCTTCTCTCTGGTACTCTTCCTGCTCCAGGATGAACATGGTGTGGTTGAACAACTGCTGCAGTTTCTCATTGGTGTAGTTGATGCACAGTTGTTCAAAGGAGTTCATCTGAAACACACAAAATGTTTGCTAGGCACATCCAGTTTCAGATCAAATAATTCCTGCAGTATATAAAAATTGTGTCCAAACTTTATCGAAAGTGGAGTTTGTTGATGTTTCCATGGATTCTCTGATGTAGGAAATTGTTTCAGGTTCATTGTCAAGATCTTTATTTGACATATCCATCAGTTCACACTGAGTTGTCTCCCTTTTATCATTTACATGAGACTACACAACTATACATTCTGATAAACATATTTACTGATTAAAGTAAGTGGTGTCCAAACCAAACCTGAATATTTCAAACCCACAACCCATGAAAGCAAAAGTGACTTAATCTTTAATCAAAAATATTGTTGGAGAATAATATTTTCTCATTAAAAATCTCCATTTGAAATTAAGTTCTGTTGCCATATTAATCCTGAAACCATCTGTCTGCAGCTGATGACTGCCAAAACTCACAACGTTTCATGCAACAGCTTGACACTGAAGTTGGCAGATTTTGAATCAAAATGAAAAAGCATAGCTGGGACCATAAAGTGGGAAAATTGGGCCCCAAAAGCTAGGCCATTCTTGCTAAAACTCTACGAGTCTAAGAAAGGTGACCGGAAACTCATCCAATCCATTGCGGACACTGATCTTACAATACAGTCAAACCAAATGATAAATCTCAACATCTGAAACAAAAGCATGCATTACAACATAAACATAGAAAGTGTTGTTCTAATCAGTTTGAAGTAACGTAAATTACAATGAGTGTAAAGCATAAGAGAAGAAAGTGAAAGTCAGAAATAGGTAAACTAACCCTCCCAGTTGATCAATTCATCTACTGCTACAGAAACTGACTGACTTGTAATGAGAACTCCTTATGATGAGAGTTAAATTCGAAAATATCATGCACTAATTATTCTTTAAATATTTACAAAGGAATCTCACTTAACTATTGCCAATCAATGACACATGAAATCTGTAAAATCCTAATAACATATTGAAACTGTTTCCTCCAATTTCAAACATTACAAGACAATATTCTCCTACTTGTGCTTGTGCTTCATGAAGTGTGAGTTCCACAGACATGCACACTTTATGGTAATTAATCAACTTTCACACCTGTTAGCAAAGACGTTCAAAATGTATAAATATTTTCAATGTAAGAAAAACAAATACAGTGTGCTGTATGTTAAGAGACGCCAACCTCCATATAATAGAGTGTTTCACTCAAACCAATAGCTTAACAATACAATAGCAAGGGCACCATGTGCCACAAACTGATCCTTTAGTGACTCAACAAGGCTCTTATGACTTCTCCACAGCCTTTCACATGTTCCTATTGTTTATTAAATATTTGATGATGTTTTAGCCAGTACTGGGAAGTAGGTGTGTCAGTTCTGTTTCATGTAGGCGAGCCCACAAAGATGCAGGTCTTTGAAGATTACCAATTCGATGAGTATGGTTTTACACTGCTTTTAGCAATATTTCAGCAATATCACGGTGGGGGGCACCAGAAAAGGGCTTCACATATTGTAATCATGTTGGGAATCGAACCCGGGTCTTCAGCGTGATGAATGGACACCCTTTGATGAGCCCAACAAGCCTGGGCATGGAGCTGGCAAGTCTTAGCCATTTTCATATCCACTATCACAGGTTTCCGATCTGCTTATTGGACACAATTTCTCAGAGTTATCAGTTGCACCTAAACAACTCCAGTACCCCATTTGGGTGATGAGAAAGACATCAACAGGGCTACATATCCCATGGAACAGGAAAAACTAGGGTTTTGTATGAGATGGCCTGATTACCTTTTACTAAAACTTCCAATCTGAAAGAGCCTGGAGCCCATTCAGGATTCCCTGATGGGATTTATCCCTATATTTAGAGTCCTTTCAAAGTTGGCGTCTCAGGTAAGTTTGCACAGTCAATGGTCATACCATGCATGATCATAGCAAACCTGGGAGCAACAACTGTTAGAGCCACACCAACAATTTAATCATTAATGGGACGGGTGAAACAAACACATTAAGGAGGAACACTATCAATAGGCTGAGATAACTTATTTCATTCTGTTGTTTTGAACATTTCCAGAATTGACCTCAAACCCCGAAATGAACAACAGAACTAAAAAAAAATGAAGGTTCAATTATATAAAAATATATATATACAAGAATGGAAAAAACTAAGGGAGAATGAACAAGAAAATATAACATTAACATTCTCAGCTACAAGTTGGGAACAACACGTGCATGCCGTTTGCTAAACTTAAATCTCATAATGTTTGAAATAAGACAACAAATAACATTGTGAAATCTATTGGCAATTCTCATGCTTTTGAATGAAATAAGTGGTAATCGGACACTGCTGGACTACATCAGCCAGACAAGGGCACTTGCGAGCAAGTAGTTTACCTTTTCGGTGGACTGAAGGAGTTAAAATATGGAGAAAAATAAATAAATATGGAAAAGCAGAGAATGATCATTTGATGAGAAGTATTAAGAAGAAATTGGGTAAAATGGGAACATATCCAAGGGGTAAAAAGAAGAGCAATAGCAATGAAGGGTTTCAAAAACAATGCTTCTTCACACGGATTGGATTTCAACAAGGATGCAAGTTTTACCGATCCTGCTGCGACCGTAAAGTACATGGTATTTTTTTCGTCGTATACGTCTTCCTGACACTATGGCAAACAATGAAGTGATGGCAGTGACTTAACGTATATAACTGGGAAAATGATGTTGTTCTTAATTGATGACGGAATGCTGAGACAAAACTAAAGATGAGAAGCAGCAAATTGACAACAAACCAGGCACGATGAAAGGGGGCGATAAGAAGTAGCCAGGGACAAATAAGCCATGTTCCTTACTCAGGGATTTATCTAGGCTGCTTAATAAATATCTTTGGCACACAAACAGGGGGAAATGGCAATGTTGATTTTTACAGTTTCTTGACTAATTGGCAGTTAAATATTGCATTCAATAAAATTTTGTTAAATGAAGCATCGAAGTCTCGTCCTCTTTGTTTGTGTTACCAGTGAAATACAAAGCTCATCTGTTGTAACTATACAAGTATATTTCCCATTTCAATTTTTTGCCTGCCATTTGCTGTAGGCTTGGGTCCGGTATCATTCTCTAAGTTAGTCTAGATAAATCCCTGTTAATCAAATATAATTTTTACAAACCTGGAGAGGTTATGAATTCTTTGAAGAAAAGTCCTCCTTGGGGTACATATAAGCATTAAAATGTCCATTTTAAAAGCCTCGACAGTTGTAACAATATTTCAATAAAATATTTTACCAAACAAAAACTTCGTTATGTGTGGTGAGACCACCCTACAGGGCCCGTGAGGGGCCCCTACAGCCAAGAGCAGGTAACTCTGGCTGTGTACCTCGTACCTCACTTTTCATGCTGAGCGTGTCAGACAGATGATGGGGGAGGTGGGCGGCCCGTACCCAAGGAGGACTTTTCTTCAAAGAATTCATAACCTCTCAGGTTTGTAAAATTCTTTTTCAGAAGAAGTCCTCCTTGGGGTACATATAAGCATAAGACAGACTCCCAACGATGTTGAGTCGGGAGTGGTATTCTGTCTGCCTAACATACCCCCTAGTTCAGTCGAAGGCACAGCCGAAGCAGCGACAGAGAGAAAGTACACTCACCTAGTCACCTGACGCTGATGTCAATCAGCGTAACAAAGCGGGGAAAAGGAGCCTAGCCGATAGGCTATTGGTGGAATTTATAAAGCGGACCATAAGTCCACCCCAACCATCAAAATGGGAGGAAAGTATGGGGCGAGTCAATATATATCCCTCAGCAACCCAAACCAGCGGCGTGGTGCAGGGATGAACACAGTGACTGTAGCGAGTGATAATCGCTACATACAGTAAAAACCACCACCAATGTGATACCACCACCGATAAAAATTGAGGAATTTATTAACACCTACACCATGAGAAAAGCAAGCGTGATTTCTAAGGCTCATTCGGCTAGAGAATCGCGACACTGCTACTGGTGAGAACTGTCTGGCCAAACCGAACGCGGCTCCCGTGAGTGTTTGTCCAGCTGATAGTGGCGGATGAGCGTGCTCGATTCGGCTCCAGATAGCCGCTGAGCAGATCTCCTCAATGGGCAGTGCGGTATGCTTTGATGTAAGCCACTGCCCTAATAGAATGAGCCTTTAAACCCTGAGGGATGGTTAATCCTTTGTAAGAGTAACTTTCGAACAAATGGCAGAGACAAGCCACCTAGATATGGTCTGCTTGTTGGCGGAAGACCAAGCCTTTGCCACCGCCATAACAACAGAACAGCTGCTTATCTTTCCTGATAGCAGCCGTTAGTTGATATAAACCTTGAGAGTCTTACGGACATCTAAGGCGTGAGCGCGCCCGAAGAGAGGTACGGACGATGGAGGCTGAGTGAAAGCTGGCAGTTCGATAGAGCGCCGTTATATGAAAGCCTGCGACCTTAGGGCCGGTAGGAGTCTGGCAAGCGAATACTGACTCTGTCTTTGTGAAAGACAGTCAGAGCAGGATCGCTGACATCGCATGGATATCACCTACCGCCTGCCAGGCGTTACGCCACAAGAAAGGCAGCCTTCCAACTTAACAGCTGGAGTGAAAGAGGCGACAGATCGTGAAAGAGAGGACGGACATCAATCAAGAGCGATTGACAAGTCCCGCGGGGACTAATCCGCCCGGACAGTCGGACGGATTCTGTCCACGCCTGCTAAAAGCTGTACGAGAGGTGCTGCCCCAAAGAGAGCACCGTCGGCAGGGATATGGAAGGCAGAGATTGCCGTGGAGTAGCCCGGATAGTAGGCGGCTAAACCGGCTTCTAACGAGACTGCAAGAACTCCAGTACTTCAATTACAGTTGAAGAAAGGGATCAAGAATCCCTCTGCCGACACACCAGCAGCGCATAACAGGCCCATCTATCCTCATACTGAGCGTTTTGCCGAATCCCTCCAGCGAAGCCAGAATTGTGTCTGCAACTGGTGCAGGAATTCGCTTCAGCGTGGAGGCGATTCGGACAGAAGCCAGGCCACCCACTGAATCCTGGGATTGGTGCGGCGCTCCGTTCTGGGATAGTAAGTCGGTCGAAGGGTAATAGTACAGGAGGCTGAGCCAGAAACCTGAGTAGTACGGAAACCAGCTTTGAGCCGACCAAAGGGGTGCAAGAGGCACAAGAAGTCGAGCTGGTTGGGTGGCAAGCTGCAAGAGGACTTTGGGAATCAGGGGTAGTGGCGGGGAGCCCACAGAACCCTGTCCGTCCAATCGAGCTGGAAGCGTCTTGGGCGATGGCTCACCGGATCCGGTATCCGAGAGCAAAACACCGGAATCTGGTTCGTCCCCAGATGCAAACAGATCCACCTGGAGCGACCGAACAACTGGGAGATAGCCCGAATATCCCCGATGGAGCATCCACTTTCGTGTGGGGCCAGGATCTGACGAGAGAGTGCATCTGCTCGAGCGTTGTCGCCCTGGGAGATAAACAGGCATTACCGGTATGTCGAACTGGTGGCACCAGAGCAGAAACTGCCATGCCTCCTGCAGAAGAGGCGGAAACCGTGCAGCCCTGCTTCAGGATGTAGGTCATTGCCGTCTGGTTGTCCATCTCGAGGGCGGACCACCGCGGCCTTGAACCTGCTCGAAGTCGTTTGAACACCAACCTGACTGCTCTCAATTCTAGCACATTGATGTGCAGTTGCGCCTCGCTCTGTGACCACAGGCCTGAGACCGACAGAGCCCAGCCGCCCCACCCTGTGGCGTCCGTCTGAATTGAGAGATCTGGCGATGGGATGTCCAAAGGGAGCCCTTGGATAAATTCCCTGCCAGTGTCCACCACCGTAAATGAGGAATTAGCCACCCTGGAGTGTGGAGAATCAGCTTCGTAACCCTGGGTGTGGACCCACATTGAGCTAGAGCCTGCTGAATGGGTGCATCCTCAACAGCTTCGCCAAGCGATGTCCACCGTTGCGCCATGTTGCCTAACAACTGGAGCCAAGTCGAGCTGAGGCCCTGGGGAACTTCGAAATTGTAACACAACTCTCTGGACTTTGGTGGCGGTCGGAGACAGGGAGACTATCCCTGGCGCTGTCTCGAATCTGCGCTCCCAAGAACACCAGATCCTGGGTGGGAACCAGTTCTGATTTCTTGAGGTTGATAATCCAGCCCAACTTGGTGAGAATACTCATCACAGCAAGTGTCGCCTTCGACTCAAGTGAGTGGCAAGCGCCGCGAAGGAGCCAATCGTCTAGATGCGGGTGACAGCACCTGCCCTGTGACCTGGCTACCTGAGCTGGAATTAGCATGAGTTTGGTGAACACCCTTGGCTGTGGAAATGCGAAGGGAGTACCCGAAACTGATAGCACCTCCCGTCGAAGGAAAACCTTAGGTATTTCGGAACTTCGGGAGTGCATAGGGACATGGAAGTCTGCAGCGTCTTTGAGGTCGATTGGCGTGAGCCAATCTCCCTTCTCCACAGGCGAAATCACCCGAGCGCAGTGTTTCCATCTTGAAGGGCCGGTACCTCTAACATGTCGTTCAGACCTTTGAGGTTTAGAATAGGTCTGAACCCTCCGTCCTTTTTGGTGACAAGGAAATAAGTTGAGTAAAACCCAGCATTTCTTGTCCCACAGGAACCACCTCTATGGCTGCCTTGTCCAGCAGCGACTGGACCTCGACGCGAGCACTTCCGCCTTCTCTAGGGCAGCCCGGCACTGGAGTGCAGCGGATCCCGGAGAAGGGGGTGGGTCTCGCTTCCACTGTGGCATGTGGCCTTCCCTGAGTGTGGACAGGACCCAGGGATTGGACGTGACTTTTTCCCATTCCGACAGGAAGAGGGAAAGTCGACCACCCACAGGGATATGTGGCAGGAGACATTGAATACCTGACTTTGGCAGTACTCCGACTGCTTGGTCTGGTACCAACAAGGGCTCGGAGGAATTATAGCTGGGAAGCGGGGCTGACTTCCCCTTCCTCTGAAAAGGCTGGTGGGGCGCCGTGGCTTGCCCTTGCCCCTGCCTCTGCCCTTACCCCTCAGCGACTGCAAGGGCTGAGCCCATTTAACAGATTCCCGCCGGCGGCAGAAGGATATCGCGGAGAGACAACCGGGGGCCTTGGCGAGGCGTGTGAGGCTGTTCCAGCAAGGGCTTAGAGTCCTTGAAGGTTGAGACAGCCTCAGCGGCCTCCCGGACTACTGTAGCTGCCCGGGGAACAGGGTAGAACCCATCGGAATGGCAGCGCCAGCAGCAGAGCCTGTTGCGTGGCAGGCGAATACCTGCGCCCGCGAGGAAAGCCACAGGCGGCGGAGGCCCATCACCGCCCGACATCATTTGGCAAGCCGGCGACCTGATAGAATCGTGGCGCCAGATGTGACTGTACCTCCGTTAATTGCTTAGCCAAGGTGGAGGGAGGCGAATCTTCCTCCACCCACCCACATCCAGTAGTTGCCTCTGCAACCCGAGATGTAAGCGGAATGGATCGTCACTTTGAGGCATTGAACGCGTGCGGTATTGCTCTTCAAAGGATCGATAGGCGGTTAAAAAGCTGTAGCGTTAGTTAAGTGAGCGGCGGAAGCGGCGACCTTGCAGCTGAAGCCATAGAATTACCAGCGAACCCCCAGAGGCGGCGGATGCGTAAACACTGTCGTCAACCACTGGGGGATTGTAGAGGCAAGCCTCCCCATGAGGTACCCGGCGGTCAAGTTCTGGCAAATCGAACCTGGACCTGGTACCACAGAGGAGGGTTGATTACTTCAGACAAGACTGAGGGTAATATCGCGGCCTTGTGTCCCCACCTTGGTGGGAGCAAAAGCCTCCCTGGGGCCGAAACTCCCTGAGGGTCGAGATGCGCCAGTACTGACCACTACCTGGGGCAGGACAGAAGCAATGCGGCTCCCGTACCTGCCTCAGGGGCGCAGCCGAAACCAAAGGCGTACCCAACTCCTCCCGACCCTCATCCTCCTCCATAGCCTCCTCGAATCGATCCTCAATGAGTGAGGTCTCTGTTTCCAGAGAGCTCTGAGGGATCATCGAGGGTCTACAGAGAGGGACAAAGGCTCGAGCAGAGCGGGTTGCCCGGCACACCCGACCCAAGACTTCGAGACTGAGTCGGCGGTGCGTGATGAGGAAGAGCCCGTGCTGGGATTCCTCAATGGTAGACAAAATGATCCAGACACCCGAATGGCCCGGCCAAGCCCGGCATAGCCGGTGGGACCAATTCTTGAAGTAAGCGGCAACTACAGGGACTGCCAAACTACTAACTACTGGACCAGACCCGAGCCAAGGCTCGGGCCGGTATCAGATTACTACAGCGGAGGGTGGCCAGCAAGCGAGGCGAGGCTTCGGGCCGGCGCACCCCGACAGAAACCCCCACACCAGAGCCTAAGCTGAGGTTGGGAGCACTGCCCGCCATAGACCCGACACACACACCCGTACCTGGTCGGACACCAATCTCCTGTCGGAGGCCAGCCATCGCGTCAGCCACGAGAGTGTGGACCGAATCCATCTGCTTCTGCAATATATCAGAAAGTAAATCAATTGTTAGCTGGTTAGAAACAGGGACAGGAGGGGGGGAAGGTGCCTGTGATGTTGAGGGGATGGCAGGTGAAGGAGCCGGAGGCCCCGTACCCTTCGCCCGTTTAGGAGCATCCCCCGAAAGAGAGGAAGCCGAAGCCTTCTTTTTCTTTGTTTTTTTATCTTTGTCTTTAGGCGGCTCCTGACCCCAAATGTCCCCCCCCGCCTGAAGTAAGGACGTGTAGAACATGTAATCAGCACGTCTGGACTTGATGGTGCGGGGGGAGAAAGCCTGACACATAGAACAACCTTGTTGCGTCATGGGCTTCCTCCGCTAAACAGCGTAAGCAAACCAGGTGGCGATCCTGAGGCGACAAACTGCGCTACAGGTGACACACCCTTGGGCTGCAAAAACAGAACCAGCTATGATAATAGCAAGGACTGTCACGATATACATAATATAATATGCACACAACAAAACAGAACAAAATACAAGCGCCGGGCGATATTTTAACTGTTACAGCAAAGCTATTAAATACTAGCGTAAAGCCATAATGGCGAAGCGTAATTGCGTACATAGGTGACAAAGAGCAACATGTGTGGCGTGCGTGCGGCGTCCGCGAAAACACTCAAGCAAAACTTACCTAAAGCCTGAAAAAGGAATTTAGGCAAAGTATAATCTACAAAATGAAATATCAGCCCTTTCACAACCCGACTACAAGGCTTTTTCTAAAGCCAGGAGAAGGAAAGCAAGCGGGACCCAGCGGTCCGCCATCTTGCCTGCGTGGCTGGAGACAGCGAACACGCCCGGTAAAGTTACAACAAATCATGAATGAAAAAAGTCATACAAAGATTCCAGCTAAGCCCGGCGAAAAAAGGAACCATACATACAGGATTTGACTCTATCTCACTCATCCGGCTCTCTTATTAAGTAGCTTCTTGGACCATGCAAGCGACCTACGACCCGGCGACAGCATGAAAAGTGAGTCACGAGGTACACAGCCAGAGTTACCTGCTCTTGGCTGTAGGGGGCCCTCACGGGGCCCTGTAGGAGAATGGTCTCACCACACATAGCGAGTTTTGTTTGGTAAAATATTTTATTGAAATATTATTTACAACTGTCGTAGGCTTTTAAAATGGACATTTTAATGCTTATATGTACCCCAAGGAGGACTTCTTCTGAAAAGAGTAATGGTCCACAAATCTTTCTTAGTACATGGCATCATAAGATTAACTATAGTAATATGAAAGCATGGTCCTTCATTGCTTTTGGGACTATATGTGCATATATACAAATTATACTCTTTTTAAGAGATAGTTGTTATTTTTGTTGGGCTGAAGTACCAGTGTTATCAGGCAAGGTGGCTTGGTCAGAGTTCCTCTCTGCCTTGAACTGCATGTTGCCGAACAGAAGCACAGCAGATACCACTCGGAAAACAGCTGCAACAGAACGGATCAGAAACATTAGAAACTGACTTTGTCATACATTGGTAGACGTCTTACAATTGGCTTGACATGCTCTTACCATTGGCTTACCCATGTTTCTTGTAAATGTTGCTTCAACCGGATGCGGTCTTCATGTCAAAGCAGTAACGGCCCAATTCACACAAAGAGCATATTTGGGACAACTTTAGTTAAAGCATGTATTTTTTTTCTGTTCGTATTTTAAACTAAAATAATCAACATTAAAGTTAACAATGAGCTCAATGAACTCCTCGAATACATCACATAACTTACTTATTATATTACATTAAAACATCACAAGCACACAAATTCTGGAGGTGGCATTTAGAAACAGTGAAGAAAGAGTTGAATTAGGAATTTTATGTTCTTTATACTTTCACAAAGATGTTTGGTACAGATCAAGCAACTGGTTAGTAAATCAACCATTCCTTTATATCAATTCCACTTTCTCTGCCAGCCACCAGATCACAACCTGAAATCCACATTCATTTCTAAATCTGAGTGTTCTGTACAAGCCCACCTGACTGGTCCTCTGCGTTGATGCCCATAATGGTCATGGCTTCAACGGTGCTGCGGAACTCCAGGACGTCATCAATGCCGCCGACAGGCATGTGGCCATTAGTGAGGTATCTGTAGTTCCTGATGTCCTCCAGCAGAAACTCCTCTGTGGATACAATGAGCTTGAGTAAAAACATACAACCTTGTGTACAAGTTTCTGACCAATATAAGCAAGAATCCTCAGGTGACAAATTCCCCTGGCTTGACATAGTCAAGGGAACAAATCAGGTCCTACAAGAGTGATCTGCAAAACTCAATGGCAGTATTCCTGCCTGATCTGTCCATATACAAGAGCAGTTACTGACTTATCAAAACAATATCATGGAAATGGATTTAGTTTCAGATTCTGCTGAGCAGAGAGCTGTTATAAGGTAATGTCAAGCACTGACAAAATTAATTTGTTTTACTCGTGATTGTTCTGAATGTTTTGAACCCTTATGTATGAACACTATCGTGACAATTATGACAACTCAGCATAAGGCAGAACTGACTTGACAATTACTTCAGCAGGAAGTAAATATTTAAAATAAAAGGTATTTTTACATTTAAAACTCAAATGTTTTGTCATATTAAACCAAATACATGAAATAAACTTTAATTTCTAAAAAAGCTTTACTGTATCTAGCAAACAAAGATCTCCATATTTTAAGTGCATCTTGACCTACTTTGGCGGGAAGCTCAACACTGAGTTTAAGTCAACATGTCTACCCTCTGTCCTCATTATAAAGTTGTCCTAACTTAGACACTAGCACATAAACTGCTTAATCTAGTCAAAGTAATATTCAAATACATAATGAACCATGCTTACTGACTTCATTATGTTTCAATTAATTTGATTGTCTGCATGCTTAAATTATTGCCTTATAATGAGGCTATTTAGCATATCATCATCAGACAATGAACATCTACATACATACAAAACGTCAAGGAAACTGAAATTCAGAATCTATTGAATATATGTATTTAACCACTTTGAGGATCTAGTTTGGAATAAAGAAAAGGTGAGATAATATGCTGGAAATCCCTTGCACAAATTTAATGTAGGGAACTTAGTTCTTGGACCGGCTGCTAAGAACACCTTCAATGAAAGTTAGTCATCTCGGGCATATAAATGAGGACACACGCAACATGGTTTCAACAGAATATAGACAGCAGAGTGGACTGACAACTCAAAGGGATATTCGATGTCCTGTTTGAACCCAAGGTCCAACATAACTCTCTGAACAATGAAGGGCATGCACATATTGATCCATGCCTGTACATGATTCAGACACAACAGAAACTGCTTAGATCAATACATCTATCAACTTTACAGGACTTGTAGTATGGCAATGAAAATGCATAAAGTCTTGGCAAATAAAAATCTCAAGGTCTTAGAGATCTCCAGCTAAGCTGCAGATTGATATGAGTGGATAATGGTTAAGACACGCCTATGGAAACACTGACTTCAGAAACATAGGCCATAGAAAGAAACAATTACCTAGCTATCTGAATCACTGTGTCAGTGTAAAACAAAAACCAGACCAAACACATATTATTGTTTAACACTTATTTCACTCATAGTGGTACCCCAGTCTCAGGACAGGAATACAGGCTTTGTTGCATTTCATTCAAAATAACCATTGTACAGGTAAGAAATTAACAAGACGTACAATAATTACACCAATAATTACCATAACATCATTGACGGTGTCATGTGTCGACACCAGTCTCAACTACAGTTCATAAAGGGGAAATTACCCATAAGGCTAAAAGTACTGAAGTTGGCAGCTATTTTACAAACTGTGCTGGACTGGTGTTAAAATTGAGTTAAAGTTAAACGTCAGGTTGAGATAGTCAAGTTCAAGGTCACAAGATTTCACTGTAATAGACTGACCAGATGTGTACCATTTTCCATAAAACATCTCCAACTACTTACTCCTCTGTTGAGGCGTGGCTGCATTGAGGTACTGATAGAACATATGGAAGCTCCTCTCATTCTCAGCTTGTCGCACAGATCTCGACTTTTCCAGCAGGTCTTACATTGGTTAAGGTTTAACAATTGGAAAAATTGAGTCTATCAACTGTAAAAAGCCATGGTCGATGTTAGAAATCAAGGTCCATGGCCTCGTTCCACAAAGCAATCTTAGGATTGTCTCTGTCGTGAATACTTATGACCATCATAGCACTAATATGACATTGTGGAACAGGGTCCAGCGGTCCTAGAATTTTGTTCAATAGTATTATAATCTGGGGACCCATTAAATGTTGACAGGCAACTCAGTCAAATCCTGATGAGTCGAATCGCTGGGGACCAAGTAATAAATTCGACTTATCGATGTATTCGAGACATAGGTATGTCAATGAGGGTAGAAAAAAAGATGACCCAGTCCTAATTCCTCCACCTAAGCATTTGTTTATCTAATGATTTCCCTATCACTCATAGGGGCACCTTATCAGTTCCAGTCTGATTAGCACAGATAGTGATTTCCGTAAAATCACTAACTGCCTTTTGAACTCACCCGTCAATGGCGAAAGGTGTGAGCCGCGCTGGTTCGTTAATTGGATCAGTTTGCTACACCAATCAACTTCTCATTGACTGACTTCGGCTTATGTATACAAGATTGCTGTTGTTTGAATCTCATGGGACCAAATTTCCTTCTCGAGTCATCGTGTGTATTTATGAGACGAATTCGTGTAACCGGTATTCAAATGATGACAACTATAACAGGGAATGGTCGGGACCGACAGGTACTTCGAGTTATGCATAATATTCCAGACACCGGCATTCGACTCATCGGGATTTGACTGTATTTGGCTTTGGTTGGTTTGTTGTTTTATGCTGCACTCAGCAATATTCCAGCTATATGGCGGCAGTCTATGATTAATCAAGTCTGGACCAGACAATCAAGTGATCAACAGCATGCGCATCAATCTACTCAATTGGGATACCCCCCGATCCTGTTAGTCGCCTCTTAGGACAAGCATGGGTTACTGAAGACCAAATCTACCCCAGGTCTTCACAGGACATTAGGCTTTAGACTAAGATCCCTTGACTTTCAGCCTCAATTGCTGAACCAGTTGGCACATCCAGTTTGGACAGTCAGGTCCTTCCATTCCTTAGGATTTGGGGTTAGATGCCTTGTATCTAGCCACAAGGTTATGAACCCAGTACCCAAGTGTATGGTAGGACCCTGGTACCCCAGCTTGAACTTAAGGTCCACTATACCCAAGTTCACCTATAACATATTAATGGACTCTGGTATTCTGAACACAGCGCAACTCCATCAGCTTGTTCACATGAAAGGATACATGTTTCAATGTTGGCACCGGATATGTAACCAGATGAATCAAAGTTGATTCTGATGAATTTGCCCTGAAACAGGATCAAAGATGTCATTAAATATCTGCAGCTCTCACCTGTTTGATCACTCAAAGAGGAATTATAAAATCGTTTTTCTTGGAAATTTACAAAATATCATTTGTTTGGAGCTGACATCTTCTTAAATTTTTCAGAGGACTAATACCACCTTGTTGAAATATCCAAAGGGCTCTACAGTCACAAAGCTACATGATGACAGAAAAAGATATTGCTTGCTATGCTTTGGCAGTTTAGCATTTTTATATATAGAAAAGTACTTGCTCAAATGCCAATTTTGTGGCATGGGGAACATTTCTTACATTGATAACAGCAACAAACTTTTAAATATAATTAGTAATTACATTCTACACTGAACTTACAAATCGAGAAGAGTTGTCGTTCTTGATGGTCTTGGCATTGCCGAAAGCCTCAAGGATGGGGTTGGCCTGCAGCAGCTGGTTCTCCAGTTCCCCCTGTAACGATGCATACTAACATGTGATACAGGAAGGAGAAGGGGCACCTGTGATGGTGAGGTGAGGTGAGGTGAGGTGAGGTGAGGAATGGATGGGGCAGCCAATGTACACTACACAGTACTTACATGACATGTTGCATTTAGAATTTAAGTTTATTTAACATTTACCTTTCTTCAAATACGATCATTTTTCTCTTGGAATGAAGGTTGAGAAAAAGATTTTAAGGAATATGGGACCAATGCACCCAAATGAGAGGTCATTTTTTAAATTTATTTTAAAACTCAAAAGAGACCCCAGTAAATGCAATTTGGAGCAATGTTATTTACTGGACAGCTGGCTGCTCCTGGTACATACAATGGGAAATGTAGTGAATTGGTTACGGTGACAATGAGGTGGTCTAATAACTAAAACAATGAATGGAAATGGTTGCATATGATGGTGGAATGACGAACACACAGTAATCAGACAATGAGCAATGACAGCTATGTGAACTGATCAATTTATGATGCAATAATGTCACATGTACAAATATTTTGCAAAGGGTTAAATCATCACTGATAAAAAAAATTCAACTATGAAAAATGAACCATAGTGTTTCCAGATTAGTCATGTAGAATATACCTTGAAGAAAAACCATGAAATAAAATACTGTTTCTAAATACCACAGCTTAATGCACCTGACCATACTAATGCAATGGGACAACAATGAATTCACATGCATGAGATGAAGCAAGATGATACATGCAACAACTTCAAGACAATGACAAAGATGAAATAAACCAAGTAAAACAGGATGACAGACTCTGACATACTGGGCTGCATCAACACTGGAATCCATCTACTGTCAATCATATGGAATTGATGACAGAAGTAAATAATGTTTATTACTCATTGAATCAGGTTTTGAGTGACTTTTTTTTCATTTTCAGACTTGGATATCTCCACAGTCCATAATATTTCAATTTTCTAAAAAACAGCAAAAAACTTTCAATAAGCTCTATATGAAAGTTGGAACTAAACTTTTCTGGCCATAAGTAAAACTTTTGTAAAAAGTTAGTAAATGCATAACTAAAGTCATCTATGTTGTTACAGTATTAACACTAAAATAAACAAATGAAACATATCAGCTTGATGCTGTTCAGTGTCAGAGGTAACAACCAAAAAATGGTCGATGCATGTATGATACAATGAAAAGGTGGTATGAAATCTTGAACATGATTCAATCTCAAAAGAACAAATTCACGATATTCTAACTAATAAAATCATTCTTCTTTTCTTTGAAAGCAAAGCCTATTTAAGGGTAGATCTACTCTACTTCCATACAGGAGTAAACAATCAACAGAGCATTTACATAACATGACAACCTTAGGTCATTAACAAGATATTTCTGTAACTGCAAACAGTTTATTCTCTGAAAACACTCCAAAAGGGTGAAATGAGATAATATTAGGTTAGTCTTACATATTGAAATACACCATCGATTACATATACAACAGCACACTTTGCATATAATATGTTAAGTGCTGGAGTAAAATAGCAAACAAAATGTTTTTAAGAAGCATTAATTCAAAATCACAACAAGAAAATTAATTAAATTGTTTTTTTTTTTTCTTTTTATAATAAAAAAATCCATAAAAATGTTTGAACTGTAAATGGTTTTGATTCACAGAGACCTCAAAAAAAAAAATTACCTTAATTTTCAGTGAGGTGCAATCTACTTAAGAACTTATCTATGTAAACATTGCCAGTCGTAAGATACAGAAGCAAACACTGTACATAAGGAAAAACATAAGTCACACAAAAAGAGGTTTTAGGGATAAGTGCAAATCTCCAAGCTTAATCTTTTTAAAACTTAATGAACTAAAACACACACAGCTGGTCCTCTGGCAGTCCGTTACTTACACAGAACAAAGCCAAATGGGAGACCTTTAAATAATCAGGAAATAATCACAACATGGTAACTGGATCAAATTCTGCAAAATAATGTTTCTATTACATCTATCTGCGGCGAATCAATACCATGATGAGTAATACCTATAGCAACTAATGAGCCTCAGTCTAAGCTGCAATGATAACCCATGGAAAAAGAAACTCTCTCCATCATGGGGAGTATACTAACAATTCAAATCACAAAACACACTGGCTGAAAGATATATATCATCCATTAGCTGCCACAACTTCGGCCTCAAACCGTATAACATTCCCTTCAGACACAAGCCAAATGGGTGTAATATCTAAAATGATAATAACCACATACTATCAATCTCAATATTTGTGACAATTTCTTTTCAATTCATTTGAAGTGCTTTGCAAGATTTTAACAGCGTGAGAAATCTTTTAACATGATTTTCAATCACCATGAATTTTAAATCTTGATTTATGTTCATTCAGGGCCCAAATGATTGATGAATATTACAATTGAATAATGCATTTTCTCCTATCTTGCAGCCAGTGGCTTAAGCCCATGTGGAGAGAGTTGGGATATGCATCAACAGGAGGGTACTTACAAGGTTGAACTCTTTGTTCTAGGTGGCCCACAACAGAAAACAGAGTAACATGATCATCATCTGCTTATGTCATGCATCCTACCATGCTTGTCTACCTTCTACCACAACTAGATAAAGCAGAACTAGAACCAGTAAACGATTCTCTCATCTACATCTATCTTTACAACAATTACTGTTTGTGAGATACAAGTTACTTCTGCGCAGTGATCTAGCTATGTAGAGCAATGTTGATAGATGGGTACTTTAACGTAACTCAAAGGCAATTGTTGTTAAATGGCACAATATATATCCAGTTGGTTACAAAAACTGCACAACGTGCTTACATGAAATTTAATTTTTTTTGAGAACGATAAACTGTGAAAAGTGACAGGCGATTAATGGCAAAACCGCCAACATTGTGAGAAGTGTCAAAATTCAAAATGGCCGACTTGGCAACATGGAGGCATGTATTTGCATCAAGCAGGATTTCTAGCCAAAAGCTAGATTCACAAACAGATTGGAAGCTTTTAGAATCCCATGCCATTAAGAGCAAGAACTGGTCTCCATAGTGAAGACTTGCATAAACGTCAACATTCCGAAAGTCTTCCGGACCTTGAGGATGCACATTCGGTGGAAGGGTGACTGACAGGTTATTTCAATTAAACCATATTTATAACATTTCAGTTAACAGTTGGGGGGTAAAATGTAATTAAACATAAACTCAGACACAATATGTCTTTTTCGGAATGACATGAAACTCGAATGAATTCTAGACATCAGGTTCCCTTCCAGTATGAAATATTTACCAGAGACATTTGGATGGCATTCAACATCATATTCAGATTGTAAACATTTTTCTTATTAAAAGCTCATCCAAATTCTCATAATAGCATGCATTTAGGCAGTGTGCCAATGTAGTTAAAATTAGGTTGTTTAATTATCACAAATTCTCATGATTATGGTTTATCAACAGCATTCAGTGTTACTACTGAACTCTCAACATCAGCTTTGAGCAACATGCCTCATTAAATTGTCTGATTAAGTACATGCCTGACATCAATCAGTATTAGGTCACATGCCCTGTATATCATGCTCTCAGATTAATATGTTCTGGGGTATCCATGCTGTATCAGCAGCTGGGTACTGTCAGAATATTATTGTCAGTGTCAATTCATCACTCTGCATCTCAACACAAGTTACTGCTGACAGTTATTGTACTTCATTAAAAGTATTCCTTTAGACATGCATCCAAGGAAATAATGTTAACACTAATTACTGAAATAATATATTGAAGAACATCTATTTTTGTATGGGTGTAAACAATTCTTAGATTTCATTTTGTTTGTTTCTGAGTTTCTTTGTTGTTTAATGCCGCACTTGGCAATATTCCAGCTACATGGCAGCGGGCTGTAAATAATTATGTCTGGACCAGACAATCTTGTGATCAACAGCATGAGTATAGATCTACGCAACTGGGATACAATATTTGTCAACCATGTAAGGAGACCGGTCCCGTTAGTTCGCCTTACGACAAGCATGGGTTGCTGAAAACCAATTCTAACCAGGATCTTCACAGGTCGTCAGATTTTAGGTTGCTTCAAATTGACAACATGGAACAGCACCACCATATACCACAAGATAGGGTTCCAAATCAACAGACGTTTGTGGGTTCGAGATAAGTGATAACCAGTATAAGACTGGTGACATTTCCTTTAATATTACAATTTCACTGTTTGGTGTATGGCATTTCTGTAGCCGATTTAGGAAGTAGTAAAATTAAGAATAGATTTGTAACCATTTCAGGGGGTGTTACAACCAAACTAGTTAGTGGATATACAATATATTTTAATTTATCTTCTAATTATAACACAGTCCCATACCCAACATGTATACAGTCTGTACAATACGTCATGTCTGACACATACACGTTCCTGTCCATCTATCATAGAACACTTAATTATTCATAGGGACTTTCAGTTCAAAATCTGCTTTACAATCAAGATAAGATAATAAAATTCCCAATGTTCAGATCCATATTCACTTTACACTAATCCATGAGACATTTTCGAACAGGGACAATCCAAATGTTTTGTTTTTAAACTTACTCAAATATTGGAAAGTATAATTATTGGTTAAACATTTGACCTCTATGAAATAATATCTTAACCAAGATCGTAGAATCCTTTTTTGATCAAGCAAAGCATATAATAATTGTAGCAGAAAGATCCCTCTTGGCAGACAGCAACACATTATTCACAAAAGCTGAACCCTTTTCATGACAACTTGATCTGTTAGTCAAACCAATTCCTGTACATATCCTGTATACATACAAGACTTTGATTCTCCAAGCACCCCGAACACTACAGCTATCACTGTCCATGTTAAAGTATGACTTGAGAGTTCAGATATCCTAGTGCAACATAACTTGGAATGAGGCCTAAGCTATTACCAACAAATGATAACAGAGGGCCAACAAAGAATTGTCACAACTATTCACTGCTTCAACTTAAAACTCTTACATCAGACCACAAACATAAGGTATATGAATTAACAAGTAAACTATATATTCCAGTGCCTTTCTAAATTCAAACTTGCTACAAAGCTACTATGATTATTAAGGACCAACCATTTCGTGTACAAACAATGGCAACTAAAACATGCAATATAAGCAATACCCATGCAGACAACATGCAAAGAGTAACATAAAGGAAGGACAAGCCATCAATCCAATACCAGCGCTAAGGGGCGCCATTCTGCAGCCATGCATAAAGTCTTACCGGCACATGTAGGTTGGACACGGAGCTCCTTTGGGTGCGGTTAGATGCAGCAACATAGGCCAAATACTGGATCACTTTCTTTGTGTTTTCAGTTTTACCAGCTCCTGATTCACCACTGAAAGAGAGTGAGTGAGTGAGTTTAGTTTTACGCCGCTTTTAGCAATATTCCAGCCATATCAGGTGACATTGAAAGAGTACAATCTCAAGTTCACATCATATGACCCTCTCATCTAAATATATGAACTGTGTGTTCAAATGAACAAGAGTCATGTTCTGTTTGATTGCCATTTTAGAACTTGATGAATAATAAGAAAGGTAACATACTTTATGGATGACAACCTCTGTATTATATCATGATGCAATGTTTGAGTATTGGTTCTTATACCATTGTCAAGCAAGAAGCTATACTGAAACATCGCACCATTATATAATAAAGAAGTTGTCATCCATACAGTATCTTATCTTTCTTGAGAGTGATGTTGGAACCTGGTTCTTGGGGTTTGATTTTATCAAGAATGAGATATGATACCCGAGCTGGTATCTCAGACATGGATATGACAAATCAGAGGCTGATTGTGTGAATGTCAACTCAACATGAGCTCAAATAGAACTCAACATCTCACACACTTCTGTCGTGGCTTACGTATAGGATAAAGCATGACCCTCGGGCATAACAAAGAAGTAAGGATGTTTTCCCGAGGGAATGCCGAGGGTCATGCTTTATTCAACTTATAAACCGACCGAAGATATACTTTAGATATAATTTCAATATTTGGTATTTACTGCTGAAAGCAACTGGGATGAGACTGGCAGCCGACTCCTCGACTTGCACGCGCAATACACGTGCTCTGCACGCGCTACCCGTGCCCTGCATGTGCGCTGCCCGCACTACCCGTCTTGGGAGGAACACACTGTCCATGCCGACAAACAATCTCATTTTTCACAGCGATCCTTCGTAGTCTAGTGGATAAAACAGCCAAGCTTGTAAGCGAAGGGTTGCGGGTTCGATACCGGGTGTCGGCGCTACATGTTGGAAGTTTTCAATGAAGTCATATTTTACGATCACATTCAGTGAAGACAAAGTCGTATCAATCTTCAAAACAAGTAATAATTCAAAGTCAAGGGCTATTCCTCAGAAAATCCCCGGGCAGAGGGACGATATTGAAGTAATGCCCCCTAATCGACGGGGCATCGGGATATGACAAGAAATACTGCCTCGCTAGAACAATAGAGTGACGTCACTGGAGGTTTATAAGTGGTGTGTCTACTGGTTCTGTGCAGGCAAAGGTCACTGATGTCAATATAAGCAAGTTTGTGGCAGCAATATTCCAGGAGCTGCATGCAGGTCTGGATCAGGCAAACCCGTGACTAAATGCATGAGAAACATTTCACTCCATTCAGAGTCATGGTGTACTCAAGGAACATAATTTGAACAATGTTTCCCCCAAAAGTTCAAAAATTCAATCAAATATCTACAATATAATACCGGTAAGTCCTTGCTGATGCAAATAATTATCAACAATTAATTATCATAATAAAAGCACAAATAATTCAGACACTCATTTTCCTCATAAGCTACACATATCCTTGTAATTAAGTAATTCATCAAATGGTAATCTATTCCCTTAAAGGAAGCTGATCTCCCTGATTACAGGAATTATTTATGCACTGGTCACAGTGCATTTCCTTCAGAGACCTGTATATTTTCTTTAGTCTGAAACCCTGCTACAAAACATGACAAGAATCCAGGACAGGCATAGGCTTTCCCAGTGCTAACATACACCTTATCTTGGATTTCACTGATAAATTCTTATTTCTGGCAAAATTTCTTTCAAGCATTAGAAAGAAGATGGTGGAAACCACTGGCTGGTGCAGCTAAAAATATGGCTTTCATTTCCCTCCACTTATCTGTGTTAGATAACCTAAAATAGTTCTTCCACATTACTCAAAATATTTCCATACCCCTCTGTTTATAGCAGATACCATCTGGAATTAGAGGACTTCTGCTATTATATACATATATATTTGTTGAATACACAACACTAGGCCTGGATTCAAGTGTGTGGTTGAATGTTTATCAGAACAGCTCTACACCTCACATTAATCTTTGGGAAGATAACTCATGAAATGTCGGGACTATCACTGTAGTTGTGCTGCTATCGCTTTGATATAATTGACATTTGTTTCCTGTCAACAATAATCATCAAATTTACACAATCTAAGGCGTAACATATTTTTTTAATGTCTTTTCCAACCTTTTCTGATGTTTTATATGTATAACAGGTACACTAAACACCAAATTTCACGCATATATAAAGTATATATTTTAAAGGTTATTATCCCTATTTCAGTGCTTGAATCTACACCATCAAAGTCAGGCTCCATCCAACTTACGTGCAGAGAATAGACTGGTCCTCCCGATCTGAAAATCAATGAAATATATCATTAGATAGACATACATTAGAAGTCACTTATAAAATGCTCAAAAAAACTTTCAATATATCACAAACTTAATTGAACAAAATTTAATTAGCAAACCAAACTGAAATGTTGTTTGAATGGCTTCAGTGAGAACTTGGGCCAGATCTGTTTTGATTTTGAATGCAAGTACCGTTGAGGTATTATATATCACAATTGCATTGTTTATTGAAGCATGGCATTATTGGTTGTGGTCTGTTAGCTTGACTATTCACAGGTATCCCTTTACTGAGCTATGTGGGTGGTAACAGGCTAGGGCGATCAGTATCACCCTCTATACAGCAATATTTCATGGACTGAGAACATGTTGAAAGTCCAACAGGATTAATGGTAACCTTTGACACTTCAGTAAACTTGTTTCCCTTGGTCAAAAGAATATTGATTTTACTCCTAAAGGTGTGACTTCTTTGATGGGCATTTTATAAATTGAGGTGATGAATAATGATGATAATTTTATGGATATACTTCTATACTATATAACTTCTTTATTCTGTGAAAGGCGACGTTTCGACATAGATGTTAATGTCGTTGTCATCATCACTTGCTTGAGGACATTGTTATGCTATGTTAAAACGTCGCCTTTCACAGAATTAAGAAGTTGCATATATGTCCATAAAATTATCATCATTCTTCACCTAAAGTGTGGTCATAAAAACAATGATTCCAGTAGCATGTTTTTGTTTTATTCATTCTGAGTTTAGGTTTTGTTTATCTTCAATTATATTACATATTAACCACATAGGTGCTAAAATCACTTTCTTACAAGACATGACTGACACATGCTGCACAATCTGATAATGCATATCCTGTTATGCAGCCATATATCTGTTTACTCGGTGTCAACAGTCCTACTCTGCTGCTGTATAGAGGGTGGCCTGATCAAACAGGGTGTACTCACTCAACCCAGGACTGGGTGTGACGCTGACACTGTCACAAGTCTTAGCTGGATTTATCTCTCTCCTCTCCAGATATCCCGTCTCAGACCTCTATACTACAAACTGTCTTCACAACCCAGAACACCCTCAACAGTATAAAACCACTAGCAAACTCTCCCAACTCAAAACATAAATATGCTTCTGATTTCTATTAAGTTCTACATAATGAGGCTAATAATTCATCGTAATATGTGGGTGGGTGGGTGAGTGAGTGAAGTTTATGCCGCTTTTAGCAAGATTCCAGCAATATCACGGCTCATAAAATGTAATCCACAGGTGTGACAATGAACCTAAACCAAATACTACAGATTACCTTGTTATGCAATGATGGCTGCTATTTTCCATAATATTTCAATGACACAATCAATCTCTCATAAAGTTATTAAATTCAGATATATTTTATCATTCAAACTAAACCTTAACCATGATTATTTACAAGCACAGTAGTAGCTCTTTTATCCACGAACGTTATCAACAAAGGGTATCAGCACCACCATGGCTTGTTATAAACTCAAGCCCAGCCAGTCAAACTGTGCACATTTATCAGGTAGACAGTATCAATGGTAGCATTGTTTGACTGGCCACAAAGTCTTCCTTGTACAGCAGTGTGGTCCAGGACTGGGTCTACAAACCACTCCTCACAATCACAGCTGCCATTATATAGAGGAAATTACAAGCAACAGTCATACAAAAAGTTTAATCATATTTCCTGTTCATTCTAAAAACAGACAGTTACAGGAAACAGATCTTCCTGCATACAGCAGCCATATTGTACACCAAACTGTGGTAAACACGTGTTTAGTCTGCTAGTCCAAACTAGCATTTTTACATTATTTCCAGTAGACTTAGTCTTAGCATATGGATACCATAAGCTAATCTTATACCTATACCTGTCCACACAAACATTACATACTGCTATTACACTGGAGTACACATGAATAATTACCATGCTGCTTGTTCTGTATCGTCCATTCTATAACCCATGGATGACAAATGACTGTTCTGATTTATTAATTTCATCAACTTCTAGACCTAAGTTAACCTTTTATCAATGTCCAGAAGGTCACATGTACAACTGTTGTCTTTTGATTAATTGTCACAGTATTTCATATATATCAGACCAATAAGGTTACAAAAATACATTGTTTCCGGAGATTGCTTTTTCAAACTATCTGCATGGGAAGGGAGAGTATAGTTTCTTTCTTCTCAACTTCTTCAGCACATTAAATATTTAAAAAGGTGAACGTGATTCTAATGTTGGAATTCATTATGACATGCCTACCATGGAGGTTTTAAGCTCTGTGTGATCAATTACTTGATCACTGTATCTGAAAGCAATGACTGATCAGGTTTTAACTGATCCCCCAAACTAGTAAAACCAGTTATAACATGTTGTGTTTAATGTTCCAGTAGTACAGTCAATACCTGTCTGACAGTGATTCCTGAACACTATGAATGTTAGCATTGTTTGAATGGCCACAAAGGTTTCCAATAACTTATTTCTTTATGCTTGTATTTCCATATCCTAATTTCCCATTAAACAGTGGTAGGTAGTCAACTTACTTTACAAAATACAGTCCTAGGCTAAGTACTAAATATTATTTATCACTGCCCAAACAGGACAGGTCAGGAGTGAGTGAGTGAGTGAGTTTGGTTTTATGCCGCTTTTAGCAATATTCCAGCAATATCACGCCGAGGGAAACCAGAAATGAGCTTCAGACAATGTACCCATGTGGGGATTTGAACTTCGGGTCTTCGGCGTGACGAGTGAACGCTTTAACCACTAGGCTAGGCTACCCCACCGCCCCGGACAGGTCAGGATGGTTTGACCCATTACCATATACCCGGCATACGAGTGCTATAAACCAACCGTTGAGTTTTCACCTGGGCCGAGTCTGGAGTACAATTTGTACCCCCATATTTCACAAACTCCTCAAAATCATAAATCTTCCCTGTTGGGCAGCAGCACTTTAACTTACTATACTGCCAGTTTGAACAAAACAAACAGAGAAATCACCATTTTGAGAGCTCTGTAGCCAATCCTCAGCCCAACATGTAACACCTCATTGCTTGACTCTATTAAAAACAGTTCTCTGCAAACATGTCACATTTTTTCATGACCTTGAGAATTACCTAGCTACTGTTTGAAGGTCAAATGTCAAAGCAGAGTACAGAAAGCTGTCTACCTCTAAGGAAAGAAATATGAAACTTTATTTTTCAGTAAGAATATACATGAACACGGGGCATTCATTGGGTCTAAATAAGTAGTTTTATAAGTGATATGCTAACTGACAAACACAGAGTTACAAATGTTTGAACGTCCTTTCAATCTGCGTGACAGCTTAAGCAGGTGAGAACACACACACACACCATGAAGGAGGACCTGTCCTATGAACTACCACACAACTACTAGCTCATTCCTGACTAAACCAGCATTTACTGTTACACGGAAATCCAAACAGAAGTTGAGACTGAGGTTAGTAAAGTTAGGAAGAGTTTCAAACAAAAGGCAGTGCGAGGTTGGCTAACACGTTGTGTGGATGACTCACAACGTATTTCAGCTGGCTAGAGAATGAGATACAGCCAGCCTGACTGTGTGACTCACTACACATGCTGGTCCCTGGCACCTGGATCATCCACAAATTGTGTGTTTGGCATTATCAAATACAACATTCAATTAAAGATTGAAACTAATCCCTCCATTCTGACCAACTCACTGTGGGAAAAGGGTTCAAGAATAAGGATGTCAAGATGCCCAGGAAATGATAACAATGTAGGAAATCAGCAAACATGAAAACAAAACAAAATCTTTTCCTTGTAATGGTATCTACTGCCTTCAAAATTGTGATCCACAAATAAATATAGAAAAATAAATAATCATGGGATTGTGTAATATGACATGGTCATATTTTCAGTAAAATTAATAAATATATTGAAACAGTCTCAAAAGTTCTCCCTTCTATCAAATATTTTAACATCAATTTTACTGATTTTCAACCAATTGTAAATTGTATCCATGTTAGAATGTATATATTGTCATAACACGTAAAATTTCACATGACACAGACTAGACAACATATGATACAGCCAGACATCTGTCCACCTAAATACACTGCAAACATTTTTGGCATGCCATCAGTCACACTGGGGGACAATACGAGAGATATCTCCTTGCTGAATATATTACTGCTTATTCAGACAGAATGCGTGGTTGCTGCCAACTCAAGCTGAAACATTCTTGTTGAGAATATATTTTACAAAACAAACACATATTAAGGGCCAAAACAAGCAACATGTTTATTATAAGGAGCATATTGCTGTTTTTAAGTTATGATGGATACTTGTTACGACTCCAATATGACCTTGTCGTCACTAAAACCATTAACAAGATGGTAAGCACATGCTTTATAACCAAAAGAATTCTTGGGGGAATATGTGTGGTTAACATTATACAATGTAATTATCACAGAGCCGAAGTGCCCTTCCACAAATGGTGGTGCACAGTCAGTGGAGCTGTATTCAGTCTTGACATGACATGACAGGACATGACAGGACAGGACAGGCAGTATAAACAAAGATGAGCTTGTCAAAATGTGTGTCATTGTTATATAACCAGACCACAATACTCCAGCTGCATCAGTAAGTAAGTCTCGCTCAGATAAATCAGTGAAAGCATGAACAATGACGTTCTCATCTGGGTATGTAGTCTGTGAAATAAACATATCTTACAGAAAAAAGGGTTCATAAATAATAATCATAAAATATAATGAAAAGGAGCCCTGAAACTTTCTACATTTTCAGAAAACTGTGGTAATCTAGACTTGCCACATATTCTAAACTTGAATGGGCTCTCTTGGATATATTTGTTTCAAGGTCTGTCTGACCGACTACTGACTATGATGACTGATGATGACTGATCATAACCTGTAACCATCCAATCCTCACTTTAGTGAGCTCCTACAACAAGCTACTAGGATGAACATTCAGTTCAACAATTTCCATATGCATT